TTTCGGAGATGTGTACATGTCGACAGCCAGGCTAGAAAATCACTCAAGTGAAACAAATGCACGAGGCTTTATATAACAGGTACAGGTGGCCAAAAATTTTCAAGTAAATATGGCGGAATCGAAGAAATATGGCGGACAAAGGCGTACAGGAATGTAGTAAGTCGTACAAAGATGAAAAATGATGCCTTTTTAAGAGTTCATGTCAGCTTTAATGTCGATACGATATATCCTGGTGAGCTTGAGATAAAAGATACCACAGAATCTGACACATCTGTTTCATATCTTGATATTTTACTTGAAAAAGTCGTAAATGATAATTTAATAACCAAGCTCTGTGATAAAGGTGATGAATTTTACTTTTCTATCGTCAACTTCCCTTACTTTTGCAGCAGTGTACTTTCATCACCTGCATACGGAGTTTATATATCTCAGTTGATTCGATACGCAGGAGCATGCTCTACGTGTGAACAATTTCTAAAACGAGGTAAATTACAGACAAACAAGTTGATGAATCAACAATTTCAGCTGTCTCGTTTAAGGTAATTATTTCGTAAGTTAAATGGTCGATACAAGGATCTTATCAGCAAATACAATTTATCATTGAGTCAAATGCTGACTGACGTTTTTCATAATTACTGCTAGTTCAATATTTATACACAGAAGTGACGACAGATTTTTCCGTTATTTCCCTATCATGACAAGGAGCACACGGCGGGTGTGACCGGTCGGCAGGGGATGCTCATTCCTCCATGGCACCTTATCCCACCTCCAATGTTTTGGAGGTCTGTGTTTGCCCTACTCCTATTTTGTACTGTTTTGTGGACTTTCATCATTATAATTAAAAAGGTTTCAGTACATTCCAAGCAAGGTTTCTTCAATATTTTAAAGAGTCTGGTGTCCGTTTTACAAATGAACTTACGATTTAGACAAAAATGTAACTACAGGAATAACTTATTTCCATTTTACGTGACTTTGATTATGTTTTTGTTCTTTTCAAAACAATTCAGATTTTTTTTTACCTATACTTCCTGTTTTCAGAGAATCATTTATTTAGCAACATTTTTGCAATTAAACTACTTGTACTTTTTTAGTCCTAGTCGTAAGTTCTTTTGTAAAACGGGCCCTCAGGTAACTACATTTGGATATTTATTGAACAATTATTGCATATACATTAAAATTCAGTTCTTTAGTTACTTTGAGCTTTGCAGCTCATCGCTTAAAAAAAAGTAAGCATGACTGTACGAGTAGGTTTACCGCAGAATATCGTGGCAATCTATGATATATACAATAAATACTTTATTCGATGTCTTTTCTAGATTTTAATCCAAAGCAAATAAATTTATATAAATTGCATAATTATAAATAGGAGTAAACCTGAAAACTTTCACTGTTTGTAGTAAATGTTTGTTCAGATTAAATCAACCAGCTTTCTTATTGCTATCTTAACCTTTTATTTCCATGTATATCAATGGAAATTATATATGTTAAGTTTTTAGCAAAACACAGAGATTACACTATACATTAAAATATGTAGGTGTATCATTATACTGCATAAAAGTAAAATTCACGCTCCGAGCGTCTATTGTCAACCTTATAACTTACAATTGATGGATAAGCATGCATAAAATGTTATTTATTACCCAAACATTTCTTTAAATGACCTACATTCACGGATGAAATCAAACGATATCTAGTCTTATAGGTTAAAACAAATCTTCTTTGTCCTCAAGCAACGCCAAAAACATACATTGATAAAATTCAATTTAAATTCCAACCACAAATATATCGACTTTGTCAGCAAGGAATCGTCTCAAAACACAGCACATGGTAAGTTTGTTTACTTAGGTTTGAACATGTATGAAGAAATATTTCCAAAAGAGTATTCTTTTCCATATATTGTATCAAGAATTTTTAAACAATTACAAGAACAGCAACATGTGGCATTTGTTTATTTCAGTAGGAATCGATACATATCATGTATGTTCAATGTTCTGCCCTTTTGATGTTTCATATATATTCGCCTCTCTGGTAATCCTTTATTTTTTTCTGTTTTATCCTCTCAATAATGGTCATGGTGAGGAAATTCATTCCGTGAGATCGACCTCAAGCATAAAAGTTTCTCGAAATGTAATTAAACTGTGTTACTACAGTTGCTTTAAATCACTATTATACAGATTTACAAAACACAGAGGATTAATAAAATTTCTAATTTATGACTCAAGCTAAATATTATACTTCCACAGTATATCCTTCCTTAGACTACTATAACAACAATTTTAAAATGCCATTCATTCTATTTTATACAAATTTTGATAATTTTTAACAATTGGAAGGGTAATTTTTCAGAAATAATTAATGTTCTATATTTAAATTCGTCTAAGTCGTAAGTTCTGTGTTAAAATGGACCCAGTTTTTTGGTCCATAGATATAGTATAGACATAGAGTAATTACATTATCTGTCACCAAAATGTTCTTCAATGATAAAACCCTCTGAAATCTGTATATCATTATATTCTCTCACAAAAAACTTTAATTGTTGTAAATTCAATCTTAACGAAATCATATTTCATCTTCAAAGGTCAGTAAATTTCAATTAGGGACAAGTGGCAACATAAGTATGAAATGATAAAGAAAATATTCATACATTTATTCCATTTTTATTCAGTTTTAACAAAAATAAGGTTATTTTAATCGAATAATATTTGGGTTACATAAACAAGGAAAGTATACCATCTTCCCTTTCTTTTGTGAATTGACAATGAAGAAATCAAGAGGTTAAAATTTTTCCTTATTTATGACGCCAAATTGACAAGGTAACATCTTTTTAATTTTCATGTGATTTAAAGGAAATTAGAACATTCAAATTACATTTGTTCACTATAAAAATTTATTTTAAGTATATAAAATCAAACCCAGGATTAAAAAAAAAATATGCAAGTTAGCATTTAAATCTGTAATTACTGTCATTATATAAATTAATCTGAACTTGTTCGTTTATCTTGGATTTCATTTTATATACAGTACATAGCAAGATATATAAAAAAAATATATATATATATATATATATATATATATATATATATATATATATATATATATATATATATATATATATATATATATATACACATTTATTTTTTATAAAAACTTCATCAGAGGAAGAAAAACATCTCGTTATTAGTAGATCTATTTTGTATGTTATGAAGCAGTATTTATTCCAAATTTCATACTGTATACATATGAGAAAAACACTTTTGTAGTGGCCTTCAACACGACATTTAGATGCATCGACGATGTTATTATCAATAAAAATAGTGACTTTCATTCTTCGTCAACTTTATATATCCCATTGAGCTTGAAATAAAAGATATCACAGAGTCTGACACTTTGTTTCATTTTTGGAAATTTTACTGGAGAAAAGACGTTAATGGGAACCTAACAACCAAGTTTTTAGATAAATGTAATGACTTCAACTTTTCATATAGCAACTTCCCTTTCTTATGCAGCAATATACTTTCATAACCTGCGTATGGGGTTTATGTTTCTGAATTAAGCATAATCTAAGAGCGAACAATTTCTTAAACAATGCAAGTTATAGACAAACAAGTTGATATATCAAGAATATCGCTATTCTCGTTTAAAGTCAACATTTTGCAATTCTATAGTCGATACAATGATCTTGTCAACAATCTATCTTTAATTCAAATGCTGACTGGTGTTTTTCATACTTATTGTTAAACCATTACTATCTGATTTTTTCATTATTTCCCGATAATGACAAGGAATACACGGCGGGTTCAGATGGTCGGTAGGAGATGCTCACTCCTCCATGGCATCTGATTCCGTTTTTGATAATTGAGAGGTCGGTGTTTGCTCTCTTGAATACTGTTCGTTATATGTGTATATAATTCACAGGGCCGTCTGGGTAAATTTTAAGACATTCTGTTATAATCAGCAGAAATGGGGAGGGGGGAGTAACGTGTGATACCTACCATTAAACTGAGTACACGAACGACCTTGAACAACATATTTACAATCTTTATTGCATCATGCATTTTACTTTCTAAACTGCTCTTAAAGGAAGTAGAGAAACCAGAAATAAGCAATTATTTTTTTTCGAAATCACTATCATGATCATAGCTTTATCTTAAACAGATATTTCATATCTATAGTCTATGGAACGCTGAGTTCAAAAACTCGAGCTCGAGCTAGACATACAGCAGTTCTACATTTGATAGACTTAGTTTGTAAACTCATAGTGTACAGTCTATAATAAAATTCTTTAATTACATATTATGAACCTTTATACATCTGCATCTACATGGTGCAAGGTTAAATGAGTAATTCAAAAACAACAAAAAAGTGACAAACTAAGTATAGATTTTATAAGAATAACTGAATACATGTGTATTTCAAGTTTGACGGACAAAACCAAAATCATCATCTCACAGAGATCAACATGTTATTCAGAAACATAAAATGGTGCTTCAATACATTATATACGCACTCGATATAACATCAAAAGACACTGTTTTTTTAGGTAGATCTCAATCGGTGTTCGCTTTTGTTATAACCACTTTCTTGTTAGCAGAAACTCCGGTGTCCAATCGTCAATATAACACAGTTTCTTCTTTTTCTTTCACAGAGTAAATACACTTTATTTGAATCTTTGAATTCATTGAAAGAATAAGAAGTGACTTCAAACAAGCGTCTGAGTAATTGCGTTCTTTGAACATTAAAATTGATCCTTTTCAGTTTTTAATTCCACTTGAGGACGATACAAGACATTCTGATCTACCCTATTTTTCGTACTCTTTTACTAGCACTATATAACCTATCAACTATTAAACTATGCAGAAAAGGTGGCCCAAGGCGCCATAACAATGCAGTGAATAAAAGCTGACAGATTATGAAAGAGAATTTTACAAAATTTTTGTTCAAATCTTAAACCATGCCCGAAGCGATACAATGTTTTTATTCTTTTCATATTTATAAACATATTTATATTTCACGGTGAGGGCACTCTAGAAAGGAATGTGCTGTCATTATATTTCATAAAATTAGGAGGATTTACTTCAAAGTTTAAGGAGGTAAGCATTCGCTTTTTCTTGAGTTATCAATTTCAACACCTACAAAATAAACATTTATAAACGCATTTTTCGAGAAAGAAAAGGGAATCTTTCATAAACGGCATTCAAGATAGGATGCAAATCTTAAACATTTTGTACAAAGTTTATAGGTTCACAAATGCCTTAAGTCGGTAGAATGTTGAATTAATACCTGTTTCTGCCAATAGTAGCATATTTGTTATGCTGTATTTTTTCACATCCTTGACAAACTTTACCCTTCATATTGGAACAGCTGGGTAGAGGTGTGTCCCTCTCAAATACCTGGTAATTTTAACGCTTTGACCAAATTGATTGTTATCTGTATGTTTCAGGGTGTAGGTTTCATCGTCAATGTATCTGCTGTTTTCTTTAACAATAGCGAGTTATCTTGCGCCGAGTACGAGTGTATTTTCTTTGACGAAATTGGATGCTCATATTATATGTTCAAAAGGTAAATCGTAAAATTACCCTGTATGGATTGAATAAATTGAATATTAGACTGTTTACTTCAGTGCCGAAATTGTGAGTTTGACATCAAATGCATACCAAGTAAGAATCGGTATACAATTTTAAGACAATGAATATTAACGAGGTCACAAGGACCAAATGCACAGAAACTACTGAATAGTTGCCAAGAAAGGGGATATTGTTTACATCCTAAGATTTATTGTCAAATTATCATACAATATTAATTCTTTTTAACATCGGTGGCATAAACATGTCTTAAGTGAGGATACGTACCTAGTAACTATATTGAAGTTGCAAACATTAGTTCAGTTTAAGTTGATATGCAAATTGATAAAGGAGTCCATATAGATTGCATTTAAAGACCATTACGTGATTTTCTCTCCTATTGATATAGTTGTTAATTGGGATAAAGCTTATTAGCCTTCGTTTGCAAATGTACCTGTATACTTTACCTAAATTTGCTTGTCACAAACTGTGACGAAGAGCTACCTTGATTTTGTCAAATCGCTATGGTAATACTTTCTTTTGTGCTCCTGACAGATTCAGACGTCAGTGTATCCGTTGGGATTGTGTAGGGTTTTTCAGAGTCAGTCTGCATTCAGCCCACCTCAAACCCGGTCAACTGTGATTGCCAAAACCCAGGATCATTGTTCCTCTGTCCAATTTAATTCATTGTTACAAGTAGTTTAAAACTGTTACACCACAAATGAAGTCACAGGACGAGTTAGCCTCCACTAGATCATGGGGTAAGTCTACGTTTTATAGCATTGGATATCACTATTGTAAAAGAAAACCTTATTGTATAATACATATATTAAACCTGCAGAGGGGTTAATTTGATACTCTTGAATAAGTTGTTTCGGATTTCTTCAGAAAAATGAAGAGTTTAATGTCTGATAATTCTACATTTGGAATTAAATACCCCAACTTCATGTGATCCCTCCTCAAATAATGATAGAATGTGTTCTTTCAATTTAAGACTTCACAGTCAAAATAGACCTTCCTGTCATAACAGAATATCGTAATAGAAATAATTTAAAAGAAAAACATGGACATTTTATAATGTCACTCTCATATCTTAATCGATTTCTATGGGAGACGATCTATGTGTTATTGTTTCCAAAGTGTAAAAATAACCTGTTTCCATGTTTTTCCCTTGATATACCGGTATATGAAAGCTTCGAAATGTCCATGAATGATTACACAAAAAAAGACAGAGAAATCATATTTCTTTTATGCAAATCTTCATTGGTTTGAAGGAAATTGAGTGTGTATTATGTTTATTAAAAATGAAAGTGACAAGAAAAAAAAATCTGTCGTTCTGCCTGCCTTAATATAACAAAAGTAAGTTCCCTTTCGTCTTTTTATCCTTGCCATTATAAATTAAAGGAATTTAGGTGTCAATTTTTATCTCTACTGATCAGAGACTTTAAGAGCTTATGCGTTTGGTGAGGTGTCCCTGTCTGTCCGTTTGTTTGTTTGTAAAAAAAAAAATACTCATCATCCAATAGTTTTTGACAAGTTCCATTTCTACATTATTTGGTATATATTAATAGGTAATTTTTTTTATTGGTTTTCAAGTTCGACGAAGTCGTTGTCATAGTTTATAAAACTAAAGGAAAATTGCAAAACCGGGCTTCTCGATATTACTTTTTGGACAAGTAGACAACACATATAAAAACATAGTTTCCTGTTTTGGCTTTTGATTTCGATGAACATGGTTGAACATGGTTGAAGTGGTTACTAAAAATAGACTTTTTGTTAAATTCTCCATCTACTTTTTTTTTTTATCCTATTGCAATTGAACCTGACTCAGAAAAAGACTAAAACTAAACCAAGGATCATTAATTCATTATTTATTGCTGTTGTAATAAGTAAGGCCAAATGCTATATTTCTTTACTTTTGTTGATGAGGTACATGTAAAAACCAGTAGAGCTGGAGACTTCTGTTCACTTGTTAGGCTACTATTTGAAGAAAGATTCGTTTTCATCCAGGGTGATTTTGAAACCTCTGCGTGTTTCATTTTTCCCCTAAATATAGTCACTTGATCAAAAGACAAAACATATACGTTTTATCTTTCAAAAAGAGTTTTAGGATGGATCTCTTTTCAAAAAGGTGCTTTTACATTTTAACTTTTTCAACATATAAACAGGTGATACATACATCGTTTATATAAAGATATATATCACAAATGAAAGTAAGAAATTGCCATAAATCTTCAGACCATGAATCAGCAACTTGAACAAAAGTATATACTTTGACCCATAAATTTTAAATTCACATTTTCCCCCAAATATATTTATATAGGTTTACGTACCGAAAAAATTTAATGTACATGTAACCCTGGGTTCGTAACCAGGGGATTGTTTCTTGACCTGGTATTTCTGCATAAATTGAAAATATGCTTTACGCACTACGTAACTATATATTTTTTATTCATTTTGGACGTGTCACTAGTAACACTTAAAAATAATTTTAATTCAACGTTTTGAAATGAAGTTTTTAATAATAACAAAAATGGAGTAGAACATGTACAAAAAGTTTGTAAACAACATATTCCCCAGACCTACCAAGAACAAAATTTAATGCTGAAAACAAGAAATAACACTGGAATAAAGACTGCGTAGGGAGTATTCGATTAATAATCATCTTGGTATAGAATTCTAGAGAGGATACGTCCTCAGTAGTGTGTGAGAACCGAGGCTTACTCAATAGGATTACGGTTCTTTAAATGATCGGCATTATCAATCTACACAGAAATACCCGAGTCAAGAACTGAACCCCGAAAAGATTTAACATGGCCCGGTATTAAAATTTTGTTAAGAGAAATCCTTGTTTACTGGAATGGCCATTTCGCCTTCAAATCATTAATAACTTTTAGCGGATTAAAACGGCTTTATGCAGTACATGATTGAATAAAAGAATACCTCAAGTAATAATACTTTATGATCTTTATATTAAACACATCTAATTAAGAGTTTTTGTAGGTCAGGATACTCCGTGCAATAAAATCTAATTGACTTGAAAGCTACTCTTATTTTTCACTGTTGTACCTTAAACAACAATCCCAGTATCTGCTCTATTTAATCACTATGTATTGTGTCGTCATAAAATGCCATATGTACTTTATTTTTGATTATACACGTGTTTATTTTTAATTAAATAGTCGTGGGGAATTATACACTGCCACAAGCACCTGACGTTACTTATTTTTCTTTAAATAAAAAAAATATACCCATACCTAATTAGGTATGGGTATACTTTTTTTATTTAAAGAAAAATAAGTAACGTCAGGTACCTGTGTACACTGCATATGAGATTAAATTATTCTTTTGTTTAATATAAAAGTAAAGTGAAAACTGCGTTAGCAGCATTATTATTTGGTATTTCCTTATAATACAGAATAATTAGACAAAAAGAAAATTAATTCACCTAGTCTTTTCCTTATTAGGAAAATGTCAAATTAATTCAGGCCTTTGGTTAGCAAAAACAAATTACTTCTATTTCAATTAATTCATTGATCTGCCGTTCCCTTTGGTGATTTTGTTTAAGTTCAAGATAATAAGAACAGCCCCAAACTCCCGACATACATGTACAAATGTACATGTATAAACGTCTCGTTGATAAAAAAAAATTCTCAATACAAATTATAATCTGTTAAAAATGAAATGATAAATCTCTACTGTAAAAGTATTATCATTCTAAAGGAATATTTTTTAACAAATATTAAACATTTAATAAAATTTACCGTACAAATGAAAGTTACTGAAATTTTATTCAATCACTGATTTAAACTTCATAAGGACATATAATCAGTGAACATTTAATTATGATACATGTGTTTATTCTCGTACAATATTACACCAGTTGCGGTATATACCCAGTATGTATGTACATGTACACATTCCTAACATGAGAGAATTACATGATATACAGCCGGACGAGGCTGCAGTCACGACGCACTTCCTTAACACCACTGACAAGTACTGTCACAGGAAAACAAGTTATGGTCAATTTCAAAGAAAAGGATAAATTTAACCACACTTTTAAATGTTTACACAATACATCTGTAAGCAACCGTTGACTCAGTCCTAAGAATGTAATATAAGGTGCCATCGTGGAATATAGTAATTGGTTTCATTCATAAAAAAAACATGCACATGCATGTGCCAGGTATTTTTGCTATTTCAAAATATGTGCATGCATTGCAATATTAATATTATATGCTTTAACCCCTTTTTAAATGTATCGGTGAATTCATATATTTGTACATATTTACAAAATCATTGCTATATTTTTGTTTCATTTTCTTTTCAAAGAACCAGGAATGTACGTTACGAGAAAAGGAATATTCGACCTTAAACTTTAAGGACCTTAAAGTATTTTGCTCTTCTTCAAACTGACATCATGACGTCGGATAATGAAACGTCATACAGCCAGCTGACCTTGGCGGATCACGGAGCCACGTCCATGACAGAACTCTACATAGAAGGAGTGATTCTACTGATTATATGTCTAGTGGCTCTCGTCGGAAATATTTCAGTTTATCTCATTGTTCTAAGATCAAAAAAATTAAGAACGATTACAAATTTCTTCATTCTTGGATTAGCAGCAGCGGACATTTTAGTTTCTATTGGAAACATGCCCGTGACCGTGGCAACCCTATTTGAAGGGAACTGGCCCCTTGACCATACATCATGTATTGTGTTTGGATTTATTAACATGCTGACTCTATGCTCCAGTGTCCTTTCCTTGTGTAACATCAGCATAAATCGCTATGTTATGATTTGCCGTCCATTCCATTCCAAAGTTATATATACCAGAAGAAACGCTGTTCTTATGGTCATAGGTAAGAATAGTTACACACAAAAGGAAGCAAAGGAAAAAATATCAATTATCCTGATGATCTACTAATTAAGATAAATAGAATGCTGTCAATAAGTTAATGATGTATTAACACCTATACGCAAACTGTAGACGAAATATCGCGAAAAAGTAATTGTTGCCCGACAGCTTCGTTAGAGGAATGAAACAATAAGAACCGCAGAGTCATGTCACTGTGGGGAATTCATTACGGTTGACAAATCTTTACAGTTCTGCCTGTTTACAATCCATGAATGTGAACTGGGAAAAACAACATACGTAACCATAGACTAGTTCTAACAGAAGTATAAAATGTAAACACAGTCGAAACATTTTTAACTTTTTTTTCATATTCAATATTATACATGTAATATTGTTTACATGTACTGGCCACTGGGACATTTTTATTCTCTTTCACCCCAGATCCTTTAGACAGAATTTCAAAACCTTTAAGAAATACCACTTAGAGAGCCCAACAATTCATTGTGGTTTTAATACTGAACAAAACAATATACTCATATGTATGCATCTAGACAAAAGATCACATTTTATAATTTACTTATACATTTAGGGTAAGGGTCGTTTTTCTCATATTCAAAGATAAAAATTAAAAAAGTACAATAGAGTAAATTCCTATATTCATACTTAATACAGATGTTGTATAACGTTTTCAAAATATACTCGAATAGAATAAAATTAATACGCCCCAGTCGCATATGCCATACAAATTCAGTCCTACAATTGTTCACCGTCAGATACTATCAAATCCTTTTGTGAATCCATCATACGTGATTAAACAGAGAGAAGATCTCGATGTATCCCCTTACTTACTTCATTGTTTGCTACTTTTAAAATCAAAAGACTTCCAAATATCCCTTACAAATTTTGTATAAGTTCCAAACAATGTACGAGGCGTCCGACATCCAAGGCTGCAGGGCTGCTCTTATATACATTATGATGACTATTTTGAGAGAAATTAGTTAAGCGGTCGGAGGGAATGAGACATGTAATCTAGAATATGCTTATTGGAAAGCATATGCTCAGTCGTCTATTGTTTAATCTTTGTTATTGATAGAGTTTATTCTTTTAAGATATTAAAGAATATTGGCTCATTTTTATATACCCAACCCCTTGACCATAACTTTTAATAGTTGGTTCAATTACTTCAAATGTGTATTCACTGAACGTGACAAGACATTTCAATGGATATACAAATATTTGACCTTGACCTAAGCGTTTGAACCACTTAAAAAAATTATGACTCTGACAATATCTTTTGAACTGTTAGTTCTTTTAAAGTCATCATTTCGTAAGTTCTATGGTCGATACAATAACCTTTTCAGCAAATGCAATTTATCATTAAGTCAAATGTTGTCTGACGTTTTTCATACTTATTGTTAAGCCATTATACATGTATACACATTGAAATGTCGACGGATTTTTCCGATATTTCCCGATCATGACAAGGAGCGCACAGCGGATGTGTCCGGTCGGCAGGGGATGCTCACTCTTCCATAGCACCCGATCCCACCTCTGTTGTTTTGGAGGTCCCTGTTTGCTCTGCTTCAATTTTGTATTGTTTACTGTACTTTTGATCTTCAAAACTGTTCATTATCTCCATATTTCATTAGTGCTAGGACTTTCACATTTCACGGATTATTCCTTGTGACATGACCTTCCTTTAGATACCAACAATTTTGACTCCTAGACCTTGGAATTTGACTTGCATTTCAGAAACTTCAACCCTCGCTACTAATCTGTCAATCGGGGCATCAGTGTTTCACAAAGACATTTTATTTGACCCTTGTGATAAATAAAAATATTACTTGTGGTAATTCGAGGTATTTTTTCGCAATAATATCATATTGTTCGTTATCATCGAAAATTCAACGTCCTTCTAATGCTTTTGTTCTCTATTTTCAGGAGTTTATTCGTTAGCTTTCGTGATATCATTACCTCCCCTGTTTGGTTGGGCGGCTTACGCATACATTCCGGTACAATCCTTCTGCTTCTGCGACTGGACATTGGCGCCATCCTACGCCATCTTTATGATCAGCTGCTGCTTTGGAGGACCATTTACTGTTATGACAGTGTGCAATATTCTAATATTTTGCAGTGCTAAGAAATCCAATAGAAACACTAAATATTTCACCACTACGAAAAGCAAGAAAAAAGACGCACAGGCCAGAGAACTCCGCCTAGCGAGCATTTTGCTTGTGGTCGTCATCGTTTTCGTCATTTGTTGGTGCCCGTACTGTATAAGTATGTTATTGTCTATATACGCCCCTGGATTTGCTCCTAGAGGATTTCACATGTTCACCATTCTTGTGGGATATGCCAATAGCGGTGCCAATCCAATTATTTACGGAGTTATGAATCGCGCCTTTAGGAACGGATTCAAACAGTTGTATTGTGGATGGATGGGTGTGCAAATAGAAGAATCCACGGGAATAGCGAGTAATTCCGACGAACCTTCCGGAATTCCCCGAAATCCAACGAGTGACTCAAAACTCTCGGCGGGAGAAGAACTGGTGATCAAAAATTAATCTTTATTTATACATGTATTAATGATATACATCTATGTACGATAAGATATTGACTCTAACTGTAACACAGGAACTTGAAGTGAGTGTCATTATTTGAATAGTCTGTTGTACTCTTGATTCAGTCCTGGTGTAAAGAAGAGTTTGTCAAGGAACTGAAAACTGTCAATCAAAAGAATTTAAATATGTGCATTTATTTATCTCTTATGCCAAGTGTTTTCGTTTAAACTCGTGTGATAACTACATGGTTGTAAAGTATATACAGTCAATTCTCGAATTATCGCCATTCGATTCATCGCCATTTTCGCTATACCGCCATGATTTCCCAAGAACGTTTTTCCTGCTATATAAAATTCTCTTTATAATGCCAAATTCGCATACCGCCATCCGCCACCCTGTTTTCAAAACAAACGTCCATTTTTAAGTGTAAATTATCTCGATATACCGCCACAGGTGCGTGTGGTCAGTGAAGCGCGGTTAACTAGTTGACACTATCCCTGTTGTAGAGCATGCTAAGGCAGACAAGGTACATGCAATTAAGTAATTAAACAAGAACTAAATAAACAAGAATTTTAACAAGAACTGTTATAATAATTTTGTTTTCTGTTTAATAAAATTCATTTAGTCACGGCTTTGCCACGAAAGCGGTCGTTGTTAAAGTACGCCGATAAGGCGATAACTATATTATTTAGATTATCTTTGCTTAAAACAATGCAAAGTTTGCTGAAAAAATAATTATACGGTATAAATTGTGAATGTTTAATTAACAATGTTGCCATAAACAATACGTTTGTTCAAGAATTCATTTTACTTACTATCAGCAATATATCACGGCGATCGACCCAGCATGTTTTTTTTTCAATAGCAAAACTGCAGATTTGAATGCACACTCATGTACCTGTCTTTTTTTCATAACTGCACATATTGTTTTATAGCGAATTTGTACATTAAAAAAAATTACTTGAAGTATTTTCAATCAGAAATATGTTTTATATACATGTACATGTAATAACAAGAATAGAAACGCTAAATGGTATTTCTAAGAACGGTAACTCTACTTCTGGTTTTCCAGAAAATTCAATTCATCGCCAAATTCGTTATACCGCCATGATTTCTAAATTACAAAAGGTGGCGGTTTATCGAGAATTAACTGTATTTGTTTTATTTTAATGAAATTTACAACATGTTTCTTAACATTTTATTGTATTATTCACATTGTAAGTGGTTTATCATCAACAAGAAGTTCACTGGATCTATAAAAGATCATTCGGGTATCATAAAAATTTTGGAGAGATTATTTTCCAAATAATACTACTAAAAATAGATGCGACTTAGTTCCACCCATCTTCGCTAGCGGGTTTCTGATACGCTTCTCTCCTCCTAATCCCTTGGGTTTATGAGGAGAGTAGCGTATCAGAAACCCTTGGCTAGCAAAGATGAGTTCCACCCTGAACAATAGAAACCCTGCCCGAGTGGCCAAGAAATTCACAGGCACCCTTGCTCATCATAACCATGCATTTAGTACGCTTGCTAAATACCTTGGAACAGAGATGGTGTTCAGAATAATAATGCATCTTTATTATACATTACAAAGAGCCCTGTCAAAACACCAAAAGACCTGACTATAGAGGCTGAGCTATGGGCAACAAGCTTTTTGAAAAAGGTATCCTTGCTCACCATAACTGTGATATTATATAAATAGAATGTTTGCTAAATACCCAAGCAGAATTTTTTAAAGATATAATTCACTACTGTGTACGTATATATCGGTAATCAACAGAAAAGAAAATTTTCAAAGAAACAAAAAAAAAAATCATTCGATATTCACCCCCCCTTTTGTAATCAAAAGAGCCCCTTCTAACACCAGGCCCCGGGATCATATCTAATTTTGTGTCTTCAATCTGCTGTCATTTGCAAATTGAGAGTTTCATTCAACAACTTGTGTAAACATTTTCTAGATAAAATTTTGACTAAAAGTCGAAGTCTGTTTCATGATCCTGATTATCATAACCACGAGTCTAATTCATCTGTTCTATAAACATGGGGAGGAGAAAAAAATTTCAAGAATTAAATGCGTTTTTACTATGTCACTATAGTTCCAAACTAGAACACGAACCTGGTCCTGGGCAAATTTCAAAATGCAGGTAGAGGACTCAATACTTATAACAAGCCTGCAAACAGTTTGACTGATTGATGAAGACTTTTTAAAAAATATAAGCACTAATCTTGATGGTTTAAGCGAAATCCTTATTTTAAAATTAAGGCCCAAGGATGGCAAAGACCCATGAAATTCGCAATATGTGTTCCCCTTCACCCATACAGGAGATGCTGTATTGGTTGAAATTGTTGTTCCTGAGAAGAAGCTGAAAATGTTCCGATGTTAACTGACACTGATACTGGACGAGAACAGCAATAGGTGAGGTCACCTGAGTGACTTAGGTGATGTAAAGAAGGACAGGTATGCAGGCTCTGTATTGGCGTCAGCACCATATACTTCTTTACATGGCTTATTCTGAAATGAACGTTGCACCTACCGGGCATTATGCCCCGGGCTTCTCAGAACACTGATTATTACTTTTTACATATACATGTACACATAAATGTAGATACATAAAAATGTAGGTACATACATATTTATAATTCAAGACCCAAGTAACCCTTTGAAAACAATTTTTTTCCGAATGTATTGACGGTCTGCGCCTCTTGTTTTTGATAAAAGCTAAAAATAGAATTTGGTATTTGGATACTTTTTCAATGCATCTCTAATGCAGGTTTGACAACATATGTTAAAAATAACCGGAAATATGTATTATTTTGATTCTCTGCTTCTTCAACTTTTCAAATAAGTGCCAAACTTACTATACTCTTTGGACTCTATGCACTCAACACAAATCACTACATAAAGGTATTAGCAAACTCGATTTCGATCGAGCGCGACACCCCGGGCAAACCAGCACCATCGGAAAAATTCCCTGTGGCAAATTATTTTAATGTCACATATTTCGCGTAATATTATTAAACTAAATTATTAAATTCAAATATGTTAATTGAAATGACAGTCTTTAGCATTCACAGATCGATCCAACAACCCGCCATCCGCATCTATATCGAAAAGTATACATACAGTGAACCTGTATAACCAAACATTCAGTAGCATAATACAATTTTTGTGTCAAAAAGACGACGTGTGAGATTGCACAGTGTGAGGAAAATGGAAATTCATCAAATTGGAATGAAGATATGGGCGGATGTACAGGTGTCGGAATAGTCAGTTTTCACTGTTTATAATTTATACTGAATATAAACACACATCCGTAGTCGGTACCCATAACATTATAGCTGCAATAATGTGGTTCTCTCCTCTTCGATTTTTTATTTTTTAGAGAGGGTACAGCTCTTTATGCTACATACCTAAACCTTATCGATCTTGATACAAAAATCTTATATCACCGCTTATATACATACATTATAAATAAAGAATAATACATACCCTTTTCCATATCACATCCTGTATCAGCCCGAGACACCAATATCAGCCAGAGGGCCGAAGGCCCGAGGGCTGATATTGGTCGAGGGCTGATACAGGATGTGATGTGGAAAAGGGTATGTTTTATTATATTTATTACATACTTAGTAATAAAATACAGTTGAGAAGAAAATAAGTAAATAATCATGCATGGACTTCTTACATACATGTATATAGTCTAATGTCTCATAAGATTTGGGTTTGTTTCTATTTCTATTTCAATGCACTTGATCCGTAATTTGAAAATATTCTATAGTATTACATGTATTTGTAAATTAAGACTAACCTTATTTTCAAAAAGTTAAAACTAAGAGAATATGAACCCACCAAAAATTGTGTATGAGTACAAGTACTGTTATTGTGGTTTAATTTAATAAGGGTGTGATATTGACGTCCCAATAGCCGTATCAGCCCTGCAGGGCTGATATGGATTTGCAGGGCTGATACGGATATCAGCCCCGCAAATCCATATCATCCCTGCAGGGTTGATACGGCTATTGTGACGTCAGCCATATCGCATATGCAAAAAAACCTGTATTTATTACTAAGTGTGTAATATGTAATCGTAGTGCGTTATCTGACGTTTTCCAGGCTTTTTGATATTTTACGTGCCTGGAAAACGGCAGAACCGGCGCCATTAGGAAAACTGGAAATCTCGCGGTCTCCAAATGGGGATGATTTTCTACACTTTCGAACCGAATTAAATGGCGAAATAGCATAATGTATCTAGTAGTGACAAGTCGCCAATATTGATGAAAAGTAAACATCACAGAACTTGCAAGATATTAAAATGCACGAAATGAAAACAAATCTCGACAGTCAGATAAAATGTTTTTATCGGATTAACTGTTTTATTAACGAACCATAAAAACGATGTTGATAAGTACCAAAAGTACTGGACTATTTGATACATAGTGAGTTTGTCACAAGTAAGGATAGTTCAATGTACGAACTTTTAACTAAGGCGCATGCTTTTCTCCAATAAACGAAGGAACGAAGGGTTTGAAAATTACCCTCGTTATCCTCCAAAGTCGGAAGATAATAGCTATCCAATGCATATCAAGTTTCCATACATACACGTAGTCCGAAATACCTGATGTTTGTCAGGATTTTCGTACTCTGCGTCCCAGTAAAAAGTCACAACCGGCGGTATTACGAAAACTGGAAATTCGCCGCTTCCAAATCGTCGGAGGCGGCATTCTCGGGTTGATTTTGATACTTGCAAACCAAATTAAATGTCAAACTCACAATTTATCTTATAGTGCATATAGTACTCATCAACATCGTTTTTATGGTTCGTTTATAAAATAATAAAATATACAATCCGATGAAATCATGTTATGATCTTATCAGACTGATGAGATTTGTTTTCATTTTAAAATCTTGCAAGTATTGTATCAAAATGTGGATTAATTTTTTTTTATATAAATAATGGTGATTATTAGAAGCATTGTGCTATTGATAAATTATTAGTTCGGTTTTAATTCTGTTTTCAAGTATCGTTAATCAACTCCTGTTGAAGACGGCAAAATTTCAAGTTTTCGTAGCAGCGCCGGTTCTGACGTTTTCCTGGCACGTAAAATATCAAAATCCTTTGAAAAAAAAACCTGGAAAACATCAGATATTTCGTACTACTATACATGGAGATAACTTGGTCACCATGTTGAATTTTATCTTCTAAAAACAGAGGCCGACTAGACCTGCTAAAAGAGTTTTCTTACTCTTTTAATTTTTTTTTTTTAAAAATAATTTATTTTTGTGTTAGAACCTTAATAAATACATCTTTGGGTACTTGTATATTTCCCAGACTCCTCAACTTCTTCTTGCCCTCGGCCTGTTTAGCTAGCAGTTTATTCCTCCTCGTCACATCACCGCCATACTGTTCAAAACAATATTATCTGGTATTAAAAAATGATTTTCTGTCATGCTCACACACAGATAAAACATTCATTTGGAAAAAAAATTGCATTCTCTCTGACAAACTTGGGGAAATCACTCTATCTTCAAACACTCACCAGTTTGGCAGTAACATCCTTTCTATATGGGTTAACGACTTCTGTACAGATATGCTTATTGTTCACTTGACCTTTGATCTGAACTTTATATTGTTGCCGTGGAACTGCTTCCTGTAGACGAGCACATATTTTCCGACACATTGTTTGAGCATTTGAGGAATGGCACAGAAGAGTCATCTCTTCTACATCAACATTGTTTATAGTAAAACTGACCTGAAGTTAAGTGGATTTTTATCATAACAGTACTAAAATACTAATTACTGTGATGTAATTTTTTTTACAAACATAAAGAAACAAAATAGTAATAGAATTAAAGAAAAATAAACAAACAAAATGTCCTTAATACCTTGCTCAAATTAGTTTCTTCATATCCATAGTCCTCATAATCAAAACTACAAAAGTAGAGGAAATTTCAGTAAAACACATGCACTGTGTAATAACATATAAATAAGTAGAGTAGTGCAATAAAAGTGTAGGTCAGAATTCACTGGGAGAAACAGATAGCACAGGCTGTAAGCTAAGACTATTTTATACTGTACTGTTTACATAAAACTTACTCTAGGTCTAAGCAACATATGTATGTTTTGTATTTGTATTAAATACAAAACCTAGTAAATTACTTTTAAGAATTATTCTTTTTTACAATTTATTAAGATACCGTTATTCTGGAGTATTATGTCTTACCTAGCATATCCTTTTGTTACAGACTTTAATTCATCAAAGAAGTTAACGAGAATCTCATTGAGAGGGAATATAACTTTGAGCATGACTCTAGAGTTGTCTAAATATGTCTGGTCTTCTGTACGCCCTCTCCTGTCCTACACGAATAAAACAAAGTAAATACATTAAGATACCAATATACAAAATATATTTTACACTACACAGAATAATAAAAATCTTAGTGCAGAAAGAAATTAAAATTTAAATTTTCTAGGAAAAAAAACATATCAGAGAACTGAAAGTTTACTGAGGTCTTTTTAACCCCCCAGGGGGTCATGAATTGAGCAAACTAGAATCTACACTACCTGAGGATGATTCCATATAAATATAACTAATCATGGCTTTGAAGTACTTAAAAAGAAGATAAAAAGTATTCCTATATAAAATGGCCCCACCCTAGGATAAACTACTACCTGTGGCTTCCACATGAGTTTCATCTTTCCTGGCCCAGTGGTTCTTGAGAAGAAGATTTTTAAAGAAAGTCACCTAGGAAATGAACAAATTTGTACACTTGAGGATGCTTCCACATGAGTTTCATCTCTCTTGGCTCAGTGGTTCTTGAGAAGAAGATTTTTTTAAAAATATTTACTTTGTGGCAAGTTTGGTTGAAATTGGCCCAGTGGTTCTTGAGAAGAAGATGAAAAGACAACAAATGTTAGCTCAATCTTTGTACCGATATCAAGGCCTGGACTTCTCCAAAATAAAGATCAGGATAAACTATAAATCCAATTTATTTATGTAAACTGAAGTAATAAAATTCTCCAATATACAATACCTTGCATGGATTGAGGACCATCACTTCTTCACCTTTATATTGCTTTATATTTTTAGCACCTATTATACGAACTAAAAAGAAAACATATTGCTAAGTTATATGAAAGATTTGAAAACTTTTCCTCAAGGTCACTTTTTGATCTTTCAGTTACCTTTGTAAGGTAAGCTTAGAGCTGTTCACCTAACATTGTAAGGTATATTTGGAGATGTTTATTTACCTTTGTAAGGTATATTTGGAGCTGTTATTATAACACTAGCATCAAACTCTTGTTCTAGCCTCATTTTGAACACATCCATATGAAGGAGACCTAAAAATCCCAGACGCCATCCCACACCAAGGGCAGCGCTGCACAAAATACAAACAAAGGGGAGAGGTTAGATTAATTCTGTCGAATATGAAATATTCATTAGATCTTTAAAAAATAAACAATAATGACATTTCCTTTTTGAATACCTTACCTGGAGTCCTGGGCTACACTAACACTGGAATCATTAAATGTAAGCTTGGTGATGGATTCTCGTAACTTTGTGTATTGTGATTGATCTATTGGGTAAATTCCTGCAAATACCTGAAACAAATCAATCTCAATTACAATCACCTCACATGGTTCGAAGTCTGTCAAAAATCAAGATTAAATGAATTGATATATGCAATGATCTATCAATTATGCTTCAAATTGAAGCCTTCAATATATGTACTGTCAAATGAATATCTTAAATCTGGAAATTTTTGCTGTAGATAAATTTTAAGCAAATTTGCATGTTCATTGCATTCATATTGCATTCGCAAAAATATTTTTCTTAAAAATAATTGAACAGTAAGAAATTGTAAATAAAGTAGTGATCATTTGCAAAATTTTGAAATGTAAAATTTAATCAGCAGCATTTTGACCCAGTTTCGCAAAATAAAATCGACGTAAAAATTTCCAGATTTATGGTATTTATTTCTTTACACGACTTATCTGTTATATATGTTGGAACAAAGTAACATAAAACTTTTTAAAATTAAGTCTGACACATAAACACAGTCCATTCTCACTTATCTGTATGAACAAATCATCCTGATTAAAGAAATATAGGATATTGCAGAAACATACTTTTTTATATAAATTGGTATATATAAATGCAAATTCTGATCACCAAAAATGCTTTACCAGAATATGCAATGTCTGGTTTACAATAACATCCAAAACACTGAGACTCTACTGTACTTGGTTCACCTACCATAGGTTTGGCAGGCCTGAAACCTGGGAGTGGATCAACAGGAGTGGATTTATGATACATTGTGTCTCCAACAAGAGTTCCTGTGCTACTTTTTACATTTGCAATCACATAACCAGCCTGTCCTGCTAACCTACATAAAAATATAACAATAACATAAATGACCAGTCCTCTTAATCTACATGTACATAAAAAAACAAAATGCTAGCCTATTCTGCTAACCTATACAAATACACATCATTCAAAAAGATACTTTAAAAATCAATTAAACTTTAACATATTTTTAATATATTTCTCAAATCTCAATTAAAGAAGAACAAGGGGGTTTTACAAAGCCATATCAGCTTTAATATGCATGGGGTCTACTTTAGCATTTGTGACATCATAATATACATATATTTTCATCTCTTTATTCTTCATGTACAACATAACAACTATGTTGTTAGGATGTTTCTGACCAAAATTGGATTAAAAAAAAAATTCATTTACATTAGTAGTATATAAAATGTATTTGCCATAAAGTATGCAATAAAAAGAATATTGACTGAATATTGGAAAATATGCCTGTCCTTGGTCATCGAGCAGATGTGGACCTCAAAACATGGTCCAATATACCTTGCAAAGACCTCAAGTGGGCAAAATTCATATTATAATTTTTAATACTCAGTCAATAACCTAAAAAAAATAATAAAATTTTTAAACCCGAATCAAAAGTTAAACCATACCTGACTGTTTCAAAGATTGATTCTGAGGCAAATTCAACCTATAGATCTCTAACCAAAGAACATCCAAACCATTCATCAAATAACAAAATAAAAACACATTTGAAATGTTTTGGGAGTTGATACAGTTTAAACAGCACTTACAGTATATTTGTAGGAGTTTGCTCTGGATGGAGAATCCCAACTTCTTGTATGTCAAAGCTCTTCTTAGCATGATGGAATGTTACCTTATCACCTGAAATTTAAGCAAGATCAAAACTTTTATGTCTGTAAAGATATGTATATGGTATTCAGACATATCACGTCTGCATGATTCAAAATAATTACGATCAATTTTAACTCGACATTAAAAATGTTTATTTATATCTATAGAAAATAAAAATACACACTCAAATCTTTAAAGGAATTTTAAGATCAAAACTGATTTTTTTTCTTTTAAATGACTTTTGCTGAAGTATGCAAAGAATATCCTCTACCTTTCATAACAGCTCCATCCTTGACTGCGACATTACATATAATTCCTTTAAACTTATCAAACCAGGAGTCATACACTAAAGCTTTAAAGGGCTTCTTCTGATCAGCTGGTGGGCTGAAAAATAATTTCAAAATTGTAGAAAAAAAGACTTTACAATTTTAAATGGCTTTTTTAAAAAGGCAGATTATAAGATGAAAATAATTATAAATAAAGAAATAAAATGAATATCTTACGGTGGAATTCTCTTGACTACAGCTTCTAAAACTTCCGCAACACCAATTCCCAATTTTGCTGAAATCTTCACAAATTCGTTTAAATTAAAAATACACAAAACTCTAACAATTTCAGAAAAAAGTAGTTGCTAAATAGTTATGTAAAAAAAGACTATTTAAAAAAAAAGATAAACCAGACCTTAAGTATTTCATCATCAGTGACAGGATAGAGATTTTGAATTTGTTTGGAAACCACCTCTGGGTTAGCTCCCTTTAAGTCAATTTTGTTTAATACTGGAATGAGTTCTAATCCTGCTTCTATTGCAAGGTACATGTTGGCGACTGTTTGAGCTTGCACTCCCTATGATAACATAACACCAGGGTGACTTATTGTTGAGCTTATATACAGGTATATTTGAAAGCAAGTGAAAAAATCTATTTAAAACTAAAAAGGAACAAAAGAAAAAAATAAGAAAAAGAAATCAAGACAAATTGGATAAAGACAAACTTTTTGCATAAGATTTGCAGTTCATGCAGCACATATGGGGAAGAAAAAGGGAGATACCAGACAATGATTGTTACCTGATTAGCATCTACTAAGAGAATAACTCCTTGACATGCTGAAAGAGATCTGGAAACCTCGTAGCTGAAATCTACATGACCCTACAAAAATTCAATAAAACATTGATAAGTAAAGAATTGGTTGATCAACAGAAAATATAAATGTCTACATAAAAAATTATCATTCCTTTTTTTTTTACTTTAACATGATAGGCAAGTCCTGCCAGCAGTGCCCACTTCTAATATGAGTCAACAATACACATCTGTGTAATCGTACATTTTATTTTTGTTTCTTCTTATTTAATTGTCAAGTAAAATAAAGTTACTCTTGAGCAGCACATACTGATATACATAACAGAAATTTATCAAAAAGGAGTATAGCAGATTACTGTCAGATATCAATTAACATTTTATAGAAATCCTGTTTTTGGGGTTAGTACATGTGTACTTACTGGGGTGTCCACCAGATTAAGGAGGTAGGTAATGCCCTCCACATCATAGAAGAGACTGGCTGACTGAGCCTTCACTGTGATCCCCCGCTCCCGCTCCACCTGGAGTTTGTCCAACACCTGTTCATTCTTCTGGTTCTCAGGTATTACACCTAATGTAATGGGAAAACATCACTTAGAATTCAACTTTATTTTGGTGATTGAGAGCCCAATTCAAGTAAAAATTTACCTGTGATTTCAAGCATCCTATCTGCCAAGGTACTTTTTCCATGATCAATATGAGCAATGATGCAGAAATTTCTTATTCTCTCAGGTGGAAAATCAATCAAAGATATATTCTGCAATAAAGATGATGAGTTTTGTGAATAAAAGGCTAATTTCACTTTATAATATAATATCTATATTTAAAATTAACAAATGAAATAAAATTTAATTAATTTGTTTCAAAGATTCTTTTGTCATACCTCGGTTTTTCTACTTTTGGTGCTGTATGATCTCCATATGGTTACTGTAAACCTGGCATAATAAATGAATACATTAAATTTCAAAATATTCATCTTCAAAATGCCAGGGGCTCATAAACCCCAGACACATGAACCCCAGACTTTTACAGGCTGACCGCAGTGTTGTCCTTTGGAGAAATAACAAATCCTGATTGTTTTTCCTTATCCCTCAGCCAATCCTATTAAGGTTTTCAGTGACAATCACTTTGTAACACATGCTCTTTTCAGTTTAAAGGTTTCAGCTGCTTACTTTTTGTTAATTTTTTATGTCAACTTATGAAAAACCCCATTTGTTTGGTACTTCTCAATGAATTAGATAGCCATGAAAAAATATTAGGGGTGCCATGATAACCATGAGTGGACTCAAGACTCCTGAAATTATGAAGTAAAACATGTTAGGCCAAAAAAAATAATAGTCTTGTTTCCTGCTACCAGCCTGAAAAAAATAGGGTCGGTAGGTAGGAAAATTATTTTATTTTTTTAATTTATTTTTTTTTCCAAAGGTATTTTTTGGATATGAACTACTACAAAACCAAATAAAACGTCATAACTAGGTCAATATTATCTTTTGAAAAGAAATTTCATGTGTTTTGATGCACAACTCAAGTGGAATGTTATAAAAGAACATATTTTAAACATATATTTCATGAAATACAGTTTTAATATATATATTTTTTTCACTTTTGGATCATAAAATTCCTGCAATTTCCATTTTTTTCCCCAAAAGCTAAAAAAAACTTTAGGGTCGGGTGCAAAAAAATAGGGTAGGTCGGGTAGCAGGGAACAAGACTATTTTTATTTTTGGCCTTAAATACATGTACATTTTTTATCAGCTATTTTAAAGCAGTCTGATTAAAATAAAACTTTCACTAGCTCCTTTTTTATTTGTTTGTCACGTGACAAAACAAAATAAAAAGGAGCTAGTGAAGGTTTGATTTTAATCAGACTGCTGTTTAAGGAACAAATTACCAGATGTAGTAAGTAAACTTATGTAATATGTAGATAGAGAGATACAGATAGATATACAATATGAAACGTGAGAAAAGTTAAACAGTTGCAACCCACCCAATTTCCATAGACTGCAATCCACTCTTATTTCGCCTAATGAGTTATTAAGACAAATATATCGCAATAGACTGATCACTCACCCTTTTGAATGTAATCTTTGTGGTCGTACTTGGAGGAAATTCAAGTTAAACGATGCATTCGTTGTTTTCAATATCTTTTGACAAATCTTGAACATGTTTCAACACAAAAGCATTGAAATTAGATGTAAATGGAAATAATTATGAAAGAAAAAATGTCACAACACATATCTTATGCAGAAGTCCATTCAACAAAGTAATAAAACTGTCACACAAGGCAAAGTGAAACTGAAAGTGACACACCGGCGTGATTTACAATCGTTCCTAGAATATTCGAACTTGCAATATTTGGAGTTCCTGCCACTTTCTGAATAAATTGGTCATCACTTATCACAATATATATTTGTTTTCATCCATGAATTTAATTAGACTTTCATAATAGCGAATTAAAATGAGTGACATTGCTATCTGCCATTTTGCAATGAAATCACTGGAAATTTTATGTACAGTACACTCAAGTTTTACAGAATGATGCTTGATAGTTCACACATTTTGGGGAAATCTGTGTAAGTGATTAAAAAAAAGACTTCGACATAAGTCCATTAGACATTTCAGGGGTTCATAATAAAGGTGCACACTTACCCTTGAGTAAACACGTTGCCGTAGGTCTAACGCAACGTGTTGACTCAGAACAGGGATGGGGTAATGGTAATGTGTAATGGTAATTGACTGTAATTAATTACAAATTTCGATGTAATTGAAAGTAATGTGTAATTGACCAAATTTTCAATTACAAGTAATGGTAATTTAATTAATTACTTTCCAAAAAGGCATGTAATTCACAATTACTTTTCAATTACATTCAATTACACTGATTTTAAACAAACGAAAAATAGTCTCCTCTCCCTCAATTTCATAAACATTATTTATGAAAGGTTAATAACTTATATTTTGGACCAAAAATTTTAATAGTAAAATTTCTTGAAAAGAACTTCCCTTTTTATGTCAATTGTTGTTTAAATACAATGCCCCTTTTCATTAAAAAAAAAAACAAACAAACTTTTTAATCAAAAAATTCTTTGTAAAGTTTACAAATAAAATTCATATTTTAATTTTTTAATCAATATTAATCCATATGAAAGTAAGAAGTCCAATGGCTTCTAATCATTTTGTTGGCCATATCTTCAGCGGGTTTGTTCCCGTTTTGCACACATTTTAATTACAGGTAATTAAAAAATGTGTGAAAACGGGAATTTGACCAGGTGAGATAATTACTTAATTCCTATAGTCTATACCATGATTTGTTAGTATGTGGAAGGTAAACTTATAGTGAAAAAGTAGGAGAATAAATACAAAGTTAATGAATTATAAAGATATTTTTGAATGTGATAACTCTGAATTTTTTTCCTCTCTCAAGACTGAAAATTAATTTTTTTTTTTAAAGAAAATGAACTTAGTTAATAAATAATATTAAATAAATATTAATTTTGTATTCAATAAAATCAAATATTTTCCCATAAATATATATAGAATTTTAATAAAATGTTTATAAAATTGTATTAAACCCCTTAAGAATACATTAAGTTAAATCAGATATTCACAGGTAAATCCAGGTAAATCCAGGTAAATCCAAACCAGAAATCGGACTATAATTGCTATAAAAACACACTTCACACCTATTGTTCTATACCTAATTACAAATGTGTGAAAACGGGAATTTGACCAGGTGAGATAATTACTTAATTCCTATAGTCTATACCATGATTTGTTAGTATGTGGAAGGTAAACTTATAGTGAAAAAGTAGGAGAATAAATACAAAGTTAATGAATTATAAAGATATTTTTGAATGTGATAACTCTGAATTTTTTTCCTCTCTCAAGACTGAAAATTAATTTTTTTTTTAAAGAAAATGAACTTAGTTAATAAATAATATTAAATAAATATTAATATTGTATTCAATAAAATCAAATATTTTCCCATAAATATATATAGAATTTTAATAAAATGTTTATAAAATTGTATTAAACCCCTTAAGAATACATTAAGTTAAATCAGATATTCACAGGTAAATCCAGGTAAATCCAAACCAGAAATCGGACTATAATTGCTATAAAAACACACTTCACACCTATTGTTCTATACCTAATTACAAATGTGTGCAAAACGGGAACACACCCTTCAGCGGTGTGTTCCCCGAATGGCTATTCGGAAAAAACAACAAGTAATTATCACACTCAATTAAGGGGCCCTCTAAGGGGTACAGGTAGACTTACCTGTGTTTACCTGGATAGGCAATATTTTATAAATCAGATATATTCATTCAATTTTATTTAATTAAGAGGTTTTTTTTATTTTCCGAAATATACTGAATAAAATATAGATAAATAAATATAAATAGATAAAATTAAGAATTTAAGAAAAAATAAAATTTTTAATTGTACCTTTAATTTTATTTTTTCCAAACTATTCAACAGTATTGATTGAGAATTTACAAATTATTATCCCCTTTTTGTGCTACATTTTCAAACTCTTTTAAATAAATTAACACAAATGATTTTTTTCTTAAAATAATAAAGATATTTATGTATGATAAATAAAGTGTTTCTATAAAGTTTTCTCTAATTTAATTCATCTATTTATCATTTTTTAATTATTAAAACATTTTTTAAATCATCATACAGAAGTTTATATTTCAATTTTTAAAATAAATATAGACGATTGAAGATAAAAACAAACCACTTTAATTTTTAAGGAATTCCTGAGTTAATATAAGCTAATTGATGAAGCATCTGATAATTGATATCAGTTCACTTTGAATTTTTTAATAAGCAAAACTATCGTAATAAGTGTCAAAGAAAATGATGTGCTGAACTTGCCTAATGATGCAGTCCAAGCTGTAAATACAAGAACAACACAAGTTACAGCTCAGAATATATACATCCCTTATATGGTCCTTTAGTTGTGATGAAACATATGGAGATGGAGTAAATAAATTGTGAATATTGTAAATATGTGTGATATGAAATATGTGTGATATGAAATTGAAAAAGTAAGTCTACCTGTACCCCTTAGAGGGCCCCTTAATTGAGTGTGATAATTACTTGTTGTTTTTTCCGAGTAGCCATTCGGGGAATAAACCTCTTCAGCTTGTGTTGGAAGTTATTAACAGGTGCTGATTAGTGTCTTGGGGTCATATACTTATTCCTAAATAAACATTTTTCACACCTTTGACTTTGTCTGTTGGTGTTTATATGGTGACTTTAAATTGTAGTTTGGCACAGAATAAGTCAAATACCCACATTTTGAGGTAAACCTATGATGTTGAAATAAGGAAATATAAAGGCAAATTAAAGCATCAAAAGTACATTTAGCATAAATTTATCACTTGTTTATGGGAAAGCTTAAAACTTATTCCAAAATTTAAACACATGAATTAAGGTAAAACCATCTGTAAACTTTCTACTTAGTCAGTATCTACGGGTCTATGACAGGTGACCGAAAGACAACTCACCGAACGACAACTCGCCGACACTTTTTTCACCGACACTATAAAAGTCGCCGATACGACAACTCATCGAAAGACAGGTCGCCGACAGACAAGTCATAGACAGAATATAATACACTGACACTCACCGACATCAATTATAAAATTAAGAAAAAATCAAGTATGTGAATGTACGTTTCTTTATTAATCTACATGTATGCATTTTTCTCACAAATACCCCAGTGGAAAGAATCTTCAGCATGACAGGAAAATCTTCAAATTAATCATATATTAGGTTAGGGGACACAGTATTTGAAAAATGTATGAAGCTTTTAATAATATTATTGTAAAAAAAATGTTGTAAAATAATCTATTATAAATGTAAAGGAATATACATGACTATTTACTTTTATACGTGTATTCTTGAATGTAATTTGTAATTTAATTAATTACATTTGCAAAGTAATTGTAATTCAATTAATTACATTTCAAAATCCATGTAATGGTAATGGTAATTTAATTGAAGGTTTTGGGAAAGTAATTGTAATTTAATTAATTACTTTCCGATGTAATTGACCCCATCCCTGACTCAGAACCCGTGGCTTGCCAGGATGAGCCCTGTATAAATTCAGTATAGAGGGGAAGACCTATGTAGACTATCGTTTCGTCATCTAAAAATTACATGGAGGGTGGGGGGATATTTGCCAACACCCATGCAAGGACCCATGTAAATTCAATTAAACTTTGACTATACATTAACTGAGAATGCTGCTTTAATTATATGACTATTATCATACCTTATCTGTTCTTGTGATTTATGACCTTTGATCCATGTGAAGTTTGGTCCACTTTTGCTGTTCTTGAGATTTTTAAACCTTTTCCGTTTGAACACTTTTAGAACTACAGTACATACGCTCATGAATGTGAAGTCTGACCCCCTTTTGTGGACTAACTCTACATCCAGAAAATATGATTAGAACAAACACGAAACTTCACAGCCTGAGTACGTTTGCATATACTTAAACATGGCCCGTCTATATATTCACTTGACAGGAACACTTTTTACCATTATAGGTATGCAAGACTCCTATTGCTGTCCAGCTCGGCTATAACAGGGGCCACATGCTAAAAGATATTTGATTAAAATCATTCTTTCTTATGACCTGTCTTTGACAAGATTTTCCCCTATGCCCATTTAAATGTATTTTAAACTCCTCAAAAGGGATTCACCCGTATACCTATGAAGGGGGAGGGGGTGTCACAATTTCTGAAGAATTTTGAATCTGCATTACCTGAGGATGTTTGCATATTAATAATATCACTGTACAGATGGTTTTGAATATTTTTCTATGCAAAAGCTTGATCCCCTAAATGCGGCCTTGTCGTATTCAACTCGGGAGCAGCGAGGGGCGGGGGTGATTTGAAGAGATCTAGAGATCTACCGAATCTTACCATTTTCGTAGATGTTTATCTTTTGTGTGTTCTTTAAAGATACTTTATCTTTCTTTCCAGGTCAGCATAACTTTTTTTTAACAAACCTGTAAATTTACTTGTGATTCAATCTCTTTTACCCGAGAAAGCTTTAGGAGAATTTTGGTTGAAATTTTCCCCGATGTACAGGAAAAACTTGAAAATGAGAAAAAGTTCACCGACGACGGTCGGGTATTCTTTGAGCAGTTTCTATGTAGCCTTTTACTCGAGTGGGCATGGTAAAAAAAAATAAATAAATATTGTTCAAAAGGGTCATCGTTGAAATGTACAATAAAAACTGATAAAAGTACATGTATAAATAAACAATTTGTATACAGTTAAATAAAAATAAAACTTTGTACCCAAGAAAATGAACTTCTTACTAAATAACAATTAGCAACTGGTAATCAAGTTAAATGTACTTAAATACGTGTGTAATTTAATATCATACCACTGCATTTGTCACATAAAAAGTCACATAAAAATACAAAAAAAAGAGAAAATATTGAGTATTATAGATGGGATGGCAGGAAATGTCGTACAAGTTAATCTTTACACGTTTTGCAAATCTACAATATATTGGTGTAATATATATAATGTCTAGTTAGGAGAGTATGTCATGGCATCAACGATAGTTGGAAACGTGGGATATTTGCATAACAGGCGAAGCTCGTTATGCATAAATAATCCCACGTTTCCAATTATCGTTGATGTCCCTGGCATGCTCTATTAACTAAACAGTGATAACTTATATTTCTTTTTAATTGTCAAATAAAATTGTAAAAATGTAGACAAATATATTCAAATTCTACGAGGTCTCCCACGTCAATTTCAATAGTCTTCGACCAATGACATCAAATACAAAGCGCACGAGATTTACATGCATATTAGGCCTCCCTAGCAACAGACACGAAGACAGGCGCGCACGAGATTTACATGCAAATTAGGCCTTCTTTGCTCCTGACCTATCGCTTTGCCTAATTTACATTCCAAAATTATCAAGAAATAATATATAATTATATCAATATAAAGATATCAGGAGTACTAATTTGTGCCGCGATGAAGAAAACACGAAAAAAGCACTTCGACGCAAAGGGGTACAACCATGTACAGACAGTATACAAAATACTATCGAGATAGTTTCATAAAACTACATGATATTTAAAACATGTTAGAAAGATTGACCCAAGAAACATGCAATATTCAGTCTTTTGCAAGCTGCCAAGGATCCTTATAGTCAAAAGGATGGGGAATGGTAGAAAAGTCAATAGGAGCATTAGGATCAAACGAAGCTACAGAATCGTTACCGTGGCTATCGTTTTTGTCCTTTTCAGCATCACTTAAACTTTTTGGTTTTGGCTCTTTTATTTTCTTTTCCTTTCTTGGTGGGAGTCGGTTTGGAACATCGGTCGACTTTTCTCCAGTCTTTACGTCTTTTAAATCTAAAGGAAAAGGAGGTGCAACAGGGTTGATACCTGGTCCAGCCAAAGGAAATTTCGGAGGTTCCGCTGAGACTTTATTATCGCCGTATTTAGACTTCCTCTTGTTTTTCATAGGCATTTTAATTCTTTTTGGTTTATTAGTGTTAACAAGGATTAAATTTCTCTTCATCTCAGATTTTGCCGCCATTCTTAAGCTGGCGGTTTTTGGACAAAGTTTCCGACAACAACACACGCAGAAACATATCGCGGCGATTAGTAAAGCCGACGTGATGACACCGGCGATCGTATAACGGACATAGTCCGGCAGTCCAGAGGAAGACTCGTTGTCTGAAAAATAAAAAGAGAGGCTAACACAAGTTGAACTACAGGTATATTTGTACTGTTTTCAGATTGTAAAATGGATTATGAAGACGACATTTATTTTCAGTAATAGATGAACATTTTATCTTGAATATTTCTGGATTTTCTTTCATATAATATACATTTGTAACATAATTTAATGCTTTGTTTTTATACTGCTCCCCTTTCTTCATACCTGATGACGTCGAGTTGACGATAACATAGGAGACAGAGAACCCTTTATCTGTAACGGAGGCATCTGTTTTAAACCGCATCAACAGAAACTTTCCTGTCGAGTAAGTATAGGAAGTAGAATTTCCAACAAGGTCTCCGCAAAGGGTCTTGACCAAAGGATTGGAAAGACAAGCTCCTAGAAAAAACAATTAACTGTCCTTTACTTGATGGCAAAGAGGGAGGGAGGATTGGAGTACGTATACTGGCTCGTTATAGAGTTACCGTACATACATTTAGCTTTTTTTTGTTATCTTGTTGAATCTTTCTTAAAAGGTAAGTTAAGCAACGACAAGCCTGTATAGCCCTTTGATGGGCGATCACTTACATTACAGGTTCAACTTTTGCTTTTGTTTATGTTCAGCCGTTGCGGAATTGAATTTAATCCTCAGGGAGTCTATACAAAATTTAAATCATTTTTTTTTTAAATATTCATTGAACATAAACATTTTTCAAAGTCAGAGAAAACGAGGTACTGTGAGCAACGAGCTCACTAAATGATATCCCCCGCTTCCCATATGATGATAATGACAAAGTCCCTGTTTTGCTCTTGCGACCCGAAATAAGCGTCACATCAAAAAGTAAAATAAGAGGTGCTCAGTGGCATTATGTAATAAAGAAAATCTATAAAAGTATCATCAAATTTTATTCAGTGGTATAGGAGGAGTTGTGGATAAAAGATGGATACCCTTTAATATTATAGAAAAAATGGCAGTGTCAATGTTTTGCTCTGGAAAACCCAAAATACGTGTCCGATCAAAATGTAAAATTGGAGGTGCACATTGGCACTACCAAACAAAGATTCAGTTAAAGTCATTAAATTCCATTCAGTGGTAAAAGATGAGTTCCGGATATGAGATAGGTACCCCAAAGCTTAACAGAAGGACGGGCGGACGGCTAGGCAGTCAGACGTAAGGACGGAGGGACGGACGGACATACCGATTACTATATACCCTCCCGTTTTTCAAGTGGGGGTACAATAAAAGCTTTCTAATAAAACATTTACTGAGCATGACCTTCTCTAACAACAGAGTATGTTTCATTGAACTCCATGAAAAAACGGTTTGGCGAACAGTTTGGTTCTTGGGTCTATAAAGGTTATACCTTTTTCAACAAGAGGCCCACGGGCCTTATAGGTCACCTGAGTATCGTGTAACAACTTTCCAATAATTGAATTTGGTTTGTGTTTGAAACCAGAGCCATGAAATCACAATTTTGAAAGAGGCACCAATGCTTATCATAATTATACACTTAGCAATGCTTACTTGATAGTCACTTAACACCCATAGGTAGATCAGAGTAACTAAGAGAAAAAACACTTTCATTCTGAACCAGTTGTGCACCCCACCCCATCCCACAGGAACCACTGACCCTGGGGCCACATATTTCAAAATATTGTAAATTTTATCATAAATGTTATTTCATCAAATATGGTTGATTAATACTAATGATCAGATTTCAAGGCATTAATTTATTTTCAGACTATGTACCCCCCCCCCCCCCCATGATATCCCTGACCCAGGGGGCATGAAATTAACCATTTTGCTATATGCACCTTTCCTCATCATAAATATATATATACTTGGATCATTGACATAATACCCAGGAGCAAGAAAAGATTTTCAAAGAATTAATGTATTTTCACTATTTAATCAAAAGAGCCCCCCCCCCCAGTCCCCTTACACCAAATAGCAAAACCCCTGACATAGGGACCATGAAATTCACACAATTGTAAGAAGCACTCTTGCTCATTATAACTATGTACTTAGTTAGTTTATTTAATACCCAGGATCAGAGGAGAAAATTTTTGAAAAAATAATGCATTTTCACTACATAATCTATATAGCCCCGCCCTAGCACTAGAACCCCTGACCCTGGGGCCAAGAAATTCACAAATATGGAAGAGGCACTCTTGTTCATCATAACTATATAGTTACTTTATTTAATACCCCAGAGCAGGGAAGAAGATTTTCAGAGATTTAATGCATTTTCACTATATAATCAATAGAGCCCCGCCCTAACACCAGAACCCCTGACCCTGGGGCCATAAAATTCACAAATTTGAAAGAGGCACTCTTGCTCATCATAACTATGTACTTAGTTACTTTATTTACTACCCAAGAGCAGAGAAGAAGATTTTCAGAAATTCAATGCATTTTCAATATATAACCAATAGAGCCCTGCCCTAACACCAAAACCCCAGACCCTGGGGCCATGAAATTCACAAATTTGAAAGAGGCACTCTTGCTCATCATAACTTTGTACTTAGTTAGTTTATTTAATACCCAAGAGCAGTGAAGAAAATTTTCAGAGATTCAATGCATTTTCACTATATAACCAATAGAGCCCCGCCCTAACACCAAAACTCCTGACCCTGGGGCCAAGAAATTCACAATTTTGGAAGAGGCATTCTTTCTCATCATAACTATGTACTTAGTTTAGTTTATTTGATACCCAGGAGCAGAGAAGAAGATTTTTAAAGAAATAATGTATTTTCACTATATAATCTATATAGCCCCGTCCTAGCACTAGAATCCCAGACCCTGGGGCCATGAATTTCACAATTTTGGTAGATGACTCAATGCTCATTACAATCATGCAAACAGTTTGACTGCTTGATGTCCAGGAGTAAAGAAGAAGATTTTTAAAGATTTCATTAATTTTAGTGGTTTTTGCCCCACCCCCCTGGCCCCAGGGGGGCAGGGACCATGAAATTCACAATTTTTGTTCCCCTTTACCCATAGATACTATATGCCAAATTTGGTTGAAATTGGTTCAGTGGTTTCAGAGAAGAAGCTAAAAATGTTCAAATGTTAACGCAGAACCCACGACGAACGACGCACGACAAAAACAGATAGCAATAGGTCACCTGAGTTTACTCAGGTGACCTAATAAAAAGTAGTTGAGCTAGAATTTCTATTTATATAAAATGCATGTACACATGTATGCCATTTTCTAAAAAGTGAGATTGGACGTATGTTCTTAAAATTATTTGTATTTTATCATATTATGAACCTTTGTCGGGAATTCATCATGAGGATACGAACACCTCTCTAGTAAATAAATTAAGAACACTTGAAAGAAAGTCCTTGCCTTTGTAAATTGTCACGTTGTCAAAGACACAGTTCTCGGAATGTTCCAACCCAAAGCTCAGAAACTGCACGGAGAGAATATCAGACTCGCTTGGTTTCGTTATCAACCAGAATATATCCTGTGAACTGAAGAGAGAAGGAAAAAAATTTAATAATCTATCAAAATCATATCTGTAAACCACACCTACACGTATGTTGACTGGTTCCCTGACTGCTGACGCGATTTCCTAGCGGAAGCTATATTGGAATTAAACTTGAAGAGCTGGTGCTTCTTTATCAAACAGTATACTAGTTCTAGGATGCGCCACAATAGGACAAAAGTCAAAGTTTACTTGTTTCTTCTGCATTATGAAAACTTCAATTGACCAAGAAATCAGGAAAATGTATCATAGAGTCTCAAGAGAAATGTTACAATTGCCATATAATGTGTAGAAATAACTGGAGCATTTGCCTATTGTATAAACTTTTCACGGAAACAAAAACGTGAGTTAAATCAGTTTTCATACATACTCAACCGTAGGTAAAAGTGTCTGCAAATTGGTCAACCACCCACTTGTAGTTCTTTTAAAATGTCATTTGGGCAAAACATTCCTTGATACTAATCCTCAGACTTACTTGTTATAATTTTGTGGAATTGAAAATTCAGGATGAGATTCGAATGTCTGTACTTGATAGGAGGCTGTAAGCACAGTGGTCACGCTCTGATTAACACAGGATGGAATCTCTGGGAGGAAAACCGTAGATTTAAACATAATTTTATAGATACATACATGCAAGACTGTATATTGGCCTTAATTAATCTGTTTCGTTTTTTAGATTACCTGAAATAACGGCTTGAAATCTAATTTTGAATCCAGTTTGTTGCGTTCTCTCATCGCTAACAAAATGGAGTCTGACTGCTGTTCCGGTTGTAAGATAAACTGGAAGTCCAGTTGAGTTATAGTAGTTGCCAGTTACTGTACCAAGCAAAGCGTAGTATGTTGTGTCACCTTGAAGATTGAGATTTTGTATTAATTAAAGTCAGAAAGCAGTAACTAACAGTTTTTTTTAAAGATGCAGTTAAACTTGCCTGGTAGAGCCCCAAAGGTAGAGGAATATTTTGGAAGTGAAACCGAGTCCAATGAAACGATTTATTTTTGTAGTACCTATTTACACAAGGAATGTTGAATTAAAAGGAATCTTAATTTTTTGTAAAAGTTATTACAGATAAATATTAGTAATCATACCATCATATATGTAAAGAAAATCGCAGCAACTTTCTAGGTCAATGGCTTCAAAAGTTAGTTTGATGATCAAGCTTTCATTAGCCACCCGAATGATCCACACACACGATGAACCACTAAAGTTGGGAAAAAAACTACTCAGAGACTGAGTTCTGATAAAATTTAATGTCTGAATTTCAAATATCTGTTGGTGATCCTAACCTGTTGTAGTCCATTGGATAGTTGGGTGAAGTTATGTGATTTTCCACACTATCTGCTATCAGTGACGTATTGCCACAGGTATCCACCACCGGGGGACCTATGGTGGGGACCGTCACTGGCGCCGGGGGAGTCCCTAAAATCACCAGTACCATTTTCAACAGCAATGTTAAGATAAGTCTTATTGCAAAGATATATTTCAGTTTCAGGTATAAAATTCGATGGCATTGGATTGTTGAGTAGAACTGTAACTGTGGACTCACCTACTCGGTTGAAGCTTAGAAGGAACCCTCTGTACAAATTAACACTTCGTCGATAGTACACAAAAAAGGCATATTGTTGACTGGTTCCCAGGACAACGGAACCAGACTCTGTCTGCGATTTATCAGATATCGTCCCCAGAACGGATGCCGCATTAGAGTTACCTGCATCATTAAATATAAGTCAGTGTTTTGTGATCGTATAAGATTTACATTCAATTTAATGGTTTTGTCAGGTCGTGTTCAGAAAAGAAGCCAAGATCGAAAACCAAGTGAACAATTTGACCAACTAATGGAAGGACTGATAGACAGACATCTAGCCAGACGAACAGACAAAAGAACAGCTAGACGGCGGAGAAACCTACATTCCTCCTGAAGTTTTACCGGTTAGAGAAATATACACCTACCGTCATAAATAGTAAGCCCTCCGGGATCCGAGCCGTACGCGTCATCAGTGAGGAGGACACTTATGTTTAGATAATTTCCGGTTCCTGCGTCAATCTTCCAGTAGCAGAAGTCATTGCTGAAAGAAATTCAACCGGTTTAGTGTTAAATTAAACCGTAGGATTAAAAAAATATTAGAACACACTAAATCTTCTTTGAAATCAAATTTTGTTTTTAGACAATACCCTGAGTAGAAGTCCGGAAATGTGGCCAATGACTGCTGCAGACTTAAGGTGGTCGTCACTGTTATGGTATGCTGAGCACTCTGGGAGTAACAGGGCAGGAGTTGTCTCTGTCCGAAGACTGTGATTGAAAGAACACTTATTTTGGTTAGTTTAAAAAGTTTAAGAGCACGTCCATGGGAAACATGGAAAAACGAATGATTAAATTGGTAAACAACTGTGAACCTTTTCTGACAATAATGTTCTTAACAGTTGTCTTTATAACATGAACATTACATGAATACATTTTTACATTATGTGCCAGTATCAAAGTACTCAGTAACATGAACGCATTTTACGTACTAATATTATTCATTGTACATGATTACATCATCAGCAAAGTGTCTTCTAGAACATAATGAAACATAGAAATTTATTTTGAAATCTTACTTGTGGGATAAAGACTGAAGTATTGCAAAGTAAATCCCGCCTTTTCGATGCCCATGTCGGACGTGAATACAATATACATGTATTCCCCTGTGCTTTCATAATAGTCGTTAGTTTTACTTCCAAATAACGTTACCAAGAGGGTTCCACTCGGAGAGTTACCTGATAAAGACGGATATATGATCAATAGGTAAACATTTTCAATTTTATTAGTGCCAAATTCCCATATCTTAAAATGTCAAATTTTGTTTTATTATTATTTACTGTTTAACCAAACGCTTCAATATGATAACCAGTAAAACTTCTCACTTAAATAACAAATCAAACAAACCATATACCCTGAAATCAAAAATAATTCCTACCATCATATATACGTATTTTGTCGAAGAAGGATTCAGTGTTGATAACGTTAAATACTACCCCCACGGTAGAAGACGAAGTTTCTGCTTGTATCGACCACTGACAGTTGATTGAGCTGTAAAATTAAAATTCTGTTATTCCTACGAAAGAAATGAAAGCTGTTCAGCAATATTATTAGAGGAAAGCCGAAAGGAGACTAAATTAAACAGCATGATTTCAAAATTGCTTTACAACACCTGGCATGTATTTTTCATAATCATTAGGCCTATATTATGATGAATATATTTTGTATAAAGGGCACATAGATGTCGTAGGCGTATTTTTTTGTCTTTCCGCTGGATTTTTAGGAAACTTTTCAATCTTTTCAAAAATTATGGCCACGATTTATGCTCCACTCCAAGCTGGCCTCTTTTTAGACTAGAATTTAGCAGAATTTATAATTAAAAAACTTCTACGTGTGAAAAAAAAAACTTACTTTGGACTTCAATTTGACAATGGATATATCTTCAAACTTTTAACCAGTTGAAATATTTATTTTCATTCATATTTCTAATCGACATATCAAAGTGAAGTTAAATAAAAGGCAACGCAAAATCGTCCACATCTTGCTTTCTTGAGTGATAGATATTTTAAATGACAAACTAACCATTAAGCAAAACGACACACGAGATACTAGTATTTGGAGATTTCCACCATGGAAATGCTCTTTTATCATAGGCAATTGCGCCACATATGATCTACATATGCATTGCCTCTCATAATCATATGTATACACAATCATATGGATATCATATGTGGATCATATGTGGTGAAGTTGCCTGTATATATTTAGTATTTTTTTTTCATATAAACTGCATATAATAACCGATTAGGTACACAAGAGCATCGTCTAATTCCATTTGTAATCCGAAACAGACTACAAACTAATACGTTGATGCTACTAAGCGTTCAACAATTTCCAAATTATAATGGTCGTTATAATGACCTAGTTATTCCCAGGAACCTATGGCTTTTTCATAAATTCTAGAAAATTAATGGGAACACGTTCTTTATGTTAAGTCATTACACCAAACCAAGAATTAAGTCATCATATCGATAAGAACAGATTACTTTTATTATAGATTTTTACCTTGGGTAGTTATAAGGATAGTTCGGAGAGCTGATGGTCGGGGCGGTTCCATGGTGGGCAGACAGTTGTAAAGGGGTACTACACTGTGAGGATACTGAAGATAAAGAAGATGGATAAACAAGCCAGCGAAATGCCTACAGTGCGACAGACGTGAAGGTGAAAAATCAAATCTCTAATACATTTTCTTTGATATTTCATCTAAACATTAGTGTATACTTTAAGTAATTTGTCTACAATTTGCAAAATTGCACAAAGATTGAAATTGTCTAGCTATACTATTGTTTGCAGCTTACTGTAAAGTTTCACGTTTCGTCACGATCTTTTTCGTCAGATGCATCCAGCGTAAACAATTCACGTGATTGGTCAACTCAAATTATCAACATTGATACGGAAATAATCTGTTGCACGAGCAACCAATCAGGGATAAGAAGAAAGTTCCAGTCGTAAAGCTTGCGGTTAGGAGGCGTGTACAATTATACCTTGAGTGCAGCTGTCAACTAGATCGTGACGTAACGTGAAACTTTACAGTCAGCTGCAAACAATAGTAAGATAGCAAACACATACTATAGAGGGAGAAAGGGGTCACTTTCTCATACTATAAGTATAACTAAAATTTTTCGATATGAGTGGGTCGTCGCTCAATTTTTAAAATGTTAATCCTAAAGATTTGAGTAAAAATATATACATGTATATATACTGGTTAACAAAAAAAGTGACCCGCTTTACCTTAAAAACACATTTATATGACAAAATATTCAATTTAAGGGGAAATATTTAAAGTTGAATCAAGGGATACATCACAAACATGATTATTTAAAATGGCACTTTACATTAGATGTGTAGCTTTGTGGTTAGTCTCAAAGCAAAATGATAAGTTGGGATTTTTATTGCAAGAGTTAGAATTCCACGAATACCACATTATTTTTTAATCAAAAAGAGCAATTTTAGCCGAGAAATGTTTCACTCCGAAAAAAAGAAGATGGGGGATAAGGCGGGCTATAGTGCGACAGATAAGAAGTGAAAAATTTAATCTCGATTAAATCCAAATTTTATTTGATACACCGTATTTCATCTAATATTAAGATATTAAAGTATACTTTATGTAAAATCTCTACAATTTACCAAAATCTCACAAAGACTGAAAATATTTGCCAATGAAAAACTAAAAAGAACAAAAAACGATCATTTTCTCATACTTTAGCAAAATTTTTCAATATGAGTAGCTCTTCACTCCATTTTTTGAAAGATGATCCTAAAAGTTTGCAATAAAATACACATTTTTTGGTTTACAAAAACATGGAGCGAAGACCCACTATACCCTATAATTACACTTTTATGACACATTTCCGAGAAATACTTAAGTCTATTTAGTCGCGGGTCATATCACTAACATGATTTAAATGGCAAAAATCACCATGAGTGATGTAGTTAAGGAATAACTGTCTTATTTTTCGAATTCATGAAGTGATCAATGGATTGGCTTGTGTGATAATTTGCATAAACGCCGAAGGCGTTTATGCATAAAATTATCACACAAGCCAATCCATTGATCATCTTCATGAATTCGAAAAATCTGACAGTTATTCCTTATATTTACATGCTTTGATTCCGACAATCCACGGGCTCCAAGCCTGCTTCTCTCTAGGTGTTGTCCCGCCCTGCACGTGGTTTTTTTGGAACCGCGCCAAAACATTCATGAGGAAATCAATTACATTTACAATTGGTAATTTTATCTCAGACAAAGACATTGGAAATGTAAATATCAAAGTAGATAACGCGTTAGTCTCAAAGCAGTATGCTATTGATACGTCGGATTTTTATTGCTAGGGTTCGAATCCCACGAATACTATCTTATAATTTTTTGAAAGAAAAATTTTTTTCCGAGATTTTTTTCTCTCAGAAAGTTTTTTTTTTCTCATAATTTCAAAAAGAATCAATAATTAGAAGTTAATTGAAATACCCAATCCACATATTGCATATGATTTCTTAATATCTGACGCTATAGGCATTCTGCCAGCCTTGTTCCCCCATCTTCTTTTGTTCATCATAATTTTATAAGTTTTAATAATAATAGCTTTACTCTAAATACTTCATTTTCGAATTGGACATGGTTTTTGTTTGATTTCTGAAGTTATCGAGTTATAGACATTCTGCACGCTTCTTTCTATAGAATGTAATTATCATTAGGATGAGTAACACGTAATTCATTGATGGTGCCAAGAATAACTAGCCAATCATTGTTATTAAAAAAAAACCCTCAAAAGATAAGGTCACGAAATTCAGTCTGAAAACCAAATGTATAATTCATTATTGATCAGAAGGAAGGCTGGACATACGAATTTACAAACGGGTCAATAATTTGAATACATCAGTTAGCAAGTCAGGACAATAAAAACATCTTTTACAATTGTGAAAATACTTAACACACGGCAAAATATTTTGATGATGAAAGGATGGGAAAAGCTTTGAAAAGTGAAAGGCCGTTAAATGTCCAGAGAAAACGTTAGAGTGTATAGCAACGTACCTGTTTGGAAGGAAATGGCCAGATAAAAAATAATTGTCACATCGATTACCTGAAATCAGTATTAATATGGAATGAGTTTGAACAGAAGGTTGTAGACATAAATTAATTAAGTGTAGTTCATTTGAAACACTTTTAGTAACATCGCTTTGAACATACCTGAAATCGACTACATTTGTCCATGTTATTGTTGATTTGTATAAAGCACAATGGCTAGAGTTAAATCCATAAATGATACGGTCAAAACCTTTAATCGATGAATATTTATTCTAATCTAGATTAACAAACACATTTAAATGTCGCAGGGTTGGTTTCATTAGGACTAACAAAACCAGTCAACATTTACTATTTCGTATATCCATAGTGTGGTCTGAAATTGAAGTGACGTTAAAAAGATTTTTGGACATATCAGTAACAAATAGTTGAAACTTCCAGGAAGCTATATACATAGCATAAAAAGAGACTTAATTGTTTACTAACTGTATATACTAGTATACCTATTGCATTTAAACTGTGGAATTGGGTCTTGGACCATACTATTGAAAAATGTATGTATAATTATATATATAAGTTGTTGGGTCTAAATAGAAATGATCGATTAGATGGAGTTTAAATACTTGTATTACATTAAAGTTTTAGAATTCAGAGAATGTTTTAAATTCACCGAATTTTAAATTTTCAGAATTTTGAATTACCAGAATTCAAAAACTTAAATGTAACAGTGGTATTTTCGTTAATTTTTGAAGGCTTGGTCTTTCTGCCACTCTTGAAAGCTACGATTATACTGTTTGAAAAATAGATTAAATTACAACTGTATAATATGGTTTTGTAAAATTTAATCAGATCATGTATTGTGTCTTAGACCAAATTATTAAAAATATACTAACGGAAAAAAGGAAACTATGCAATACTTAAAGCCAAAAACATACGAAGAAATATATAAATGACGGTACATTTAATTTAAGAAATAAAGAACAAGTTTAAAAATTTCAATGGGAATTGAAGTGGGTCGGTCACGTGATCAAATCGTGTGAAGGCCGAAGGTATGGCACTCCAAATTCACAAAAATGAGCAAAACGTAGTTTCACAGTCGATAAACTAAGTTTATCGGTTGTAAACTATAGTTTACGGACTGTAAACTATAGTTAACAACGTTAATCTATATTTTACATCCGTAAACCATAGTTAACGCGATAATCTATGTTTCACAACCGTAAACTATACTTAACAGCAAAAACAATCATTTGCGATCGCAAAACATAGATTATCTGATAAATACAGTATTAACTGTTGTTCATATTGTAAACTATAGTTTGCAAACAATAAACTTATATAATACTGTATAGTTGAACAGAAATATTTCTTCTGAAACATTTTAAAACTTTATTTTGGTCTTATTGATCATAAGGGTTTAGATTACATACAGATTAATTATAATAACACATTTTACCAGCAAAATAAAATTCTCAAAAATGCAGCTCATATTGCTTTAACAGCAAAAACAATCATTTGCGATCGCAAAACATAGATTATCTGATAAATACAGTTTCACGATTTGTAAACTATAGTTTACAAACCGTTAACTATAGTTAACGATCTGATAAATATAGTTTCACGATTTGTGAAACTATGATTAACAACTCTTAACTATAGATTACGATTGTAAACTATAGTTTACAAACGTGAATCTATGTTTATCAACAAAATCTATTGTTAACGCTTATTACAGACAGATAAACTTAGATTATCATTCGTAAACTATAGTTAACAACCGTTAAATATAGTTTTACAGATGAAAACTATACTTAACGAATCGTTAACTATAGTTTACGGTTTGTAAACTATAGTTTACAGTCGATAAACCTAGTTTATCAATTGTGAAACTATGATTATCTCATTTTTGTGAATTTGGCGTGCTATACGAAGGCTTACTTATAAAAATTAATGATGGGTGTAACATAAGGTTTTGTCATTTAGTGAAGCTTATCACTAAAAAGGGACGTGAAACCGCATAAGGAACATTTGTGTACATTCCCGTTACATTTATCAATAGTTTTCTTAGCTATCTGAGAATAAAGGATTAATACTTTTTATCAAAGTTTATTCTTTCAATATTTTTCCGACAAGGACTTTATAATTATAATAGGGCACTTATTTATCTACATACAAAGCCTTCTCTCTATTCAGATTCAGAAAAACAGATGAAAACAATAAATATTTGTGTGGTATTTTTAGATTAAATGGTACAACTAGAAGGACTGGTTAACGTATCTGCATCGTATATCATTACATATGCAGTCATTATAACTTATTTCCGTGTTTTAAAGCATGTAAACATATTTCAATACGTGGTAATCAACACATTATTTATATTGTTTTAAATAAGTTGTATATAAATAAAGGTTATGGACTTCAAATCTCGGCATTTGTAGCTCAGCTAGCCTGAACCTAAAACAAAAGGAACTATTTGGATTAAGGTTTTCGTCAGTATGTTCTTTTCATATATTTTCAATTCAATTCATGGGACCAATTTGATTGATTGATTGTATGTTGTTTAACGTCCCTCTCGAGAATTTTTCACTAATATGGAGACGACACCATTTGCCGGTGGATCGAGAGCTTCAAATTTTGTCATATACTCTGCACTTACGGCCATTGAGCAGTGAGCGGTCTTTTTCGTGCCAGCCCTACTGCGACACGGGACTCCGGTTTATATAGAGTCTCGTCCGAAGGACCGGTCTCCACGCACTACAGTGGGATTCGAACCCGCGACGTAAGGATCAACTCCCTACCTCTATAGAGCAGACACTCTAACCACTGCGCCACGCGGGCGACTAGGGGACCAATATGTTATCATTCTTAAAGGGAATATTTTTTAGCCTAGTTATAACATACCATAGTAGTTACGTAAACTCTTAACCCGTATACTTGAAACTTCGGAAATATTTACCACGACTTTCATATGAGGAAGATATGTTTCACTGATTGAACAGGAAGCTCCCGTTAGAAATCCACAGTAAAAAGTATGACAGTAATGGAAAACTACACCAACGAAACATCGGATACAGTAGAAGAATGGAATAGCAAGCTAGCCAGAGTCCTAATTCCAAATAATGTCATCCTTTCTCTTTATATGATTGTAGGATTAGTTGGGAATTCTACCGTGATTTTTATTTACGGATTTAAAATGAAAGGCAACAAGATAAAGGGAAACAAAGAAGAAAGATATTTCATTCCATTTCTTGCCACTGCTGATCTATGTGCTTCGCTAGTTTGTGCTTCGTTTGGAATCGCTCAAAACTTGATGCAGGCGACATTTGATAACGAGCCTTTGTGCAAGACCTGGTGGTTCTTTGCAGGCCTTACCACGTTGATATCAGTTTTTCTCCTTATAGTCATTGCTGTACACAGATACCTCAAGGTCTGCAAACCTCTCGGAAAACAAATGACATTGAAGTGGAAGTGGTTCGCCTTGGGTTTGTGTCTAGCAATTGCACTCCCATTAGCGGGGCCCATGACATATTTTTATGGATCGGAATCTTTCTTTAATGATGAATTGAAGATCTACGGTCGCCGATGTGGAAGATTGAGCACAACGAACAAAACGAGCTCTTTGATATTTGGTGGCTCTCTTGTTCTAACAGCAATTGCAATTATTGTTGTGTTAATCTGTCTGTATTCCAAAGTGGGGTACACTATTTTTGTACATTTTAAATATACAAAAGTTCTTGGTAACCACAATAAAACAGAATATTCTCGAAGTGGGGTCTCCACTGATGACGACCCTTGCAGCAAATCTGACATGAGTTCGTTTGAGACCCTCGAGACACCCACTACGATAACATCGGCTGTGTACTCCACACAGAAGACCACGTGCCAAATTGACACACCCGTTAATAAAGACAAACATCTTCCAAAGCAGTCAAGTAGAAAGCGGAGAAGAAATAAGAGAATTGTGCATAAATTTACACTGATGTTCATGCTTATTACTATCATATTTATAATTTGTTACATTCCCAAAGTTATTATCATGCTTCTAGAGGCGAGCAACACGAAATTCTGGGAGGGGTTTTCTGATGCCGGAAGATCTGCCGTGTCGTTTGTTTACAGGATTTACATATTAAACACTGTCACGAATCCATTTATTTATGCCTTTCTTGACAAGAAATTTTCTAAGGAAATTAAGAAATTATTTAAATCTTGTAAAATACTACAGTTCAGATAATCATAAAACGAGCATATTACTTTTAATTGTTTTCATTCATCTTTATTTTTTTTTATTTTTTGATATAAATTGAAAAGAACTTGACTTTTCATGTTCAAAACTAGGCACGGTAGTAGCAATGCCAATGTCGATATATTGGGAATCTTTCAAGTGCAGAGTGTTATCAATGAAATGTAGTCATTTGCATCTTCTTAATCATCATTCTGTCAAATTTATGAGCAATGTTAGTGTGCCAAATGGACAGAATAAAGTTCATTGTACAAAATTGTACAAACTTTAATTTATACATTACTTTAACAATTTTGTGAAAGAAATAAATTTAAAAAAAAACTTTTTAAATAATAAAGAGTAAACTTTTATTGCTGCATATAGTGTATTTAATGTAGCATAATTACCGAATCTTTTCTTTTAATTACATATATTCAAAAACGTAAAAAGAATCTCTTTTTTCTAAATGAATTTGTTATATTTATGGTTTTTCTGGGAGATGGGTTTTTTAAAATTACAACAGGATTTTTTTTAAACCCATTAATGAAAGCTTATGAAAATATTCTACATAAAAAATGAATTTAGTAGAAAAAAAAGAAACGCTGGAAGAAGGTCATCTTAAAATTTTGTTTGTTTACCCTCTCTCCTCCGACTGACTTTAACCTCTCAATTTTGTTTAACTTCAGGAAAACAATTATGATTTTCTTAAATTTATTTCTTAGTTTTCTCAACCGATTAATAAATATTTTAACATAATTTTCGTGTTTTTGAAAAAAAAAATCTTTCACTACCTATCGATCCCGATATTTTGATTCTGAGTCGGGAGAGGACAAGTAAATATATTAATATGACCCAATATATTCAACTTGATTATACATGAGGGAGTGTGTACCAATGAACGTGAAAATAAAAACATACAGGATGTACAACAGGGCGGATGATTTTAATCAAATCAAGGAAGAATTTCCCTATGCCTTGTATATAGAGAGAGGGGAGAGAAAGAGGAGAGAGCGATTAGAAGGTTGACAACTCGCTGAAGATATTATGATCACGTATCTATATCCCTTGGCATAGGATCTTTGCTATAATATCAGAAATGTCAGTACATGAACAAAAAAAGAAAAAAAAGAAAAGATATACATGTATAAAAATAGTTTCAGTTAATCCTGGAAAGTTATCTCTAAGAGGAGCATAACTTCCAATTAAAGGGAGTGTTATGAATCATACGTCAAGTGCTACCCGGAAAGGGAGAAACAAAACCGGAGAATTGTGCATAAGTTTAACCCGATGTTTATTGTTATAACTGTCATTTTTCTGATCTGTCTTATCTCAAAGGTCATGATTAATTTGTCAGAGGCGAAGAATGAAAGTTCTGGGAGAGATTCAGAATATGGAAGAGCTGGTGCTTCGTTGCGTACTGAATGTACATTATACATCATCACAAATCTATTCATTTATTCATTCCTAGATGAAATATATAGAAAAAAAACTAACAATATTCAAACACGAAAATAAGGATGAAAAGTTGTTTAAAACCTGTAGATGAGTTTTGCTTATGTGTTGGTAATAGGTAAAAAGTATAGAAAATGACATTTGATTTAAAAAAAAAAAAGCTGATTTAAAAGTTTACATACTAGAAGAATTTCTTTCGGGAAGGTTTAATAAAATTTTCTCTGTATAATTTAAAAAAAACTTCCTTATTAATAAAGTATTTTTTTTAAAATGTATTTATTATTTAAACATATAATACATACCACTAAGATATGTCTGTATAATGACAAGGAAATATCTTAATATTGCATTTATCTGAGTGTAACCTTGAAAATTTTCACCCCCAAGAAAACCATTGTCAACCGAGGCGCAGCCAAGGTTGACAGTGGTTTTCTTGGGGTGAAAATTTTCAATGTTACACTCTGCTACATGCAATATTTATATATTATAAATTCTTGATCTATTTTCACATATATTATAAATTCTTGATCTATTTTCAATGTTACACTCAACTACATGCAATATTTATTATATTATACTAAATGTTTTATACAAATACATATAACAGTGAACCGTGCGCGCATAGATTCTGCGCGGTCGCTTTTTTTTTTTTGGAATATCACCCATCGTCAAGCAATGTTGACTGTTGCTACGCTGGAGGGCGTGGCTTCATTATTCTGCGGGTAATAGTGTTTTTTAACAAATGTTTCTCGACCAATCAGATTCAACTAATTTACATGAAAGTATAATATTATAAATTCTTGATCTAAAGAATCATTAAGCAATATAATTCAGGAGTAGTCCATAATTTATTGTTCACTGACTACCGATTAAGTGAAAATATCGAAAATGCAAAATTCTTTCGGTTGTTTAAGGGGATGATTTATATAAAATAATAATACATATATATAAATACCAATACCACTGAAACGACAACAGTTAGAATGGATATAAAGGAAAGAAAATAGAGTTCATTGCGAAAATTGTCCACAACTTTTTGTCGATTGAATTGCCCGAGTACTAGAGGAAGTCATGTAATATGCATACTAAACTTACTGTAATTAGCTTGATGAATTCGAATTTTTCTATTATCACCCCCCCCCCCCCCCTCGGCCCATTTACCAAAATACAGTTAACACTTTCTATATTACTATCCACGATTTATTCATATTGATGATTAACATGTAGTTAATTTGCGCAAGAATCACCCTTGTAAATGTTCTTCTCTGATTTTAATTAATTTTTCATGTTTAAAAAAAAATAGCTGAAGATATTTATTTGATAATTTATATAGAGTTGTCATCAAGTTGAATGCACTCAAATTAGTACTTATCATAAAGGAAGCTGTTTAAAAGACCTGTTGGCCCAGATCAATCATAATAACAAGTGCATACCTATCGGATTGTCTCTACCAAGAATAAATTACAATATGTCATCTGGGTTTTTTTTAATATCTCAATTCCTTGACCTATTTTGAAGTAATTATTTGCCTGTATTACTAAAAAATATTTTTCATATTGATTGATTGAATTGATTAAACTTCACATTTGAGCATTTTTGACCTACTGTATTTGGTAATTTAATTTATTGATAAACATACAGTAGCAAAGAGTCACGGAAAGCAAAAATGTTAAAAAATGATTTAGGTCCTTCGTATAGACATTAAAAACCGAGGCGCTGGTATGATAAATATCCCTGACCTCAGAGTTGAGTAAAGCCATTCACCGGTACATGGTGACGTGTCTATATGTGTGACAATTCTCGATTGGGACGTAAAGCAATTTACAATCAATCATATTTTAAGCTGTGAATAGATCAAAATATTTTTGTTTTATTTATAAGGTGCTCGAACTTGTTTTTCCTTTACATGTACATGTATTACCGTAGGGTATTGAATTTCCTTTGACTTCCAGTTACAAGAGAAAATATTTTGCTAAGATGATTTTAAAGAAAGGCTTTTTAGCTGGACAGGATAGAACATAAAGTCGTAAAAAAAATGAAAAAGGAAGTAAATAAATAATAAATCGATGCAGTAAACAGTAATTGAAGAGGAAGTTTTTGTGTCTTTGATGAATTAATGTAGTAAGAAGTAAATGAAAAGATTTTATGTGTACTATGTTTAGTCATATGATGTAACTCTGAATACGTTATTGGTCTACGCAATTCAACTTTCAAATTTGTTTTCAAAGCAGTAATACATTTACATCGTAGTAAACGCCCGTTAAAAATTTTGAAAAGAAAATCACACAGACTTCAGCGGTCCAAAAATACGAAGACATTTATGGATAACGTAACCTATATCCCGGAGAAATTGGAAACTTGGAATAGAGAGCTAGCAGAAAGTTTGATCTTTAATAATGTGATTTTGTCTCTGTATATAATAGTAGGATTCTTCGGAAATTCCACAGTTGTCATAGTCTACGGTTTTATGATGAAAAGCGATAAAGAAGAGCGTTATTTTATTCCATTCCTTGCCGCTGTGGACCTTTGTGCTTGTATCGTTTGCGCTTCCTTCGGAATTGCTCTCAATTTGATGCAGGCAACATTTGACAACATTATTGCATGCAAAGCTCTGCAATTCCTGGTACCGCTTTTTACTTTTAGCTCGATATTATTTCTCTTGATCATTGCTGTGCACAGATATCTGAAGGTCTGCAGGCCGTTTGGAAAGCAGATGACGTTAAAGTGGAAACGATTCGCGATGTGTGTGGTTTTGATAATGGCACTTATATTATCATTACCTATGATTTATTTTTATGGACTAGTGTCCTTTCCAAACACCGAAAAGGGAATCGTTGGTTTGAGATGTAGCAGGTCAAAATCTGCCACTAAAACATTGTCTTTGATTTTCGGGGGCTTTTTAGTTATTTCGACAATCGTAATTATTCTTTCATTGATTATTCTGTATTCAAAAATAGGATATACTATTGTAATACATTTTAGAAATACCAAATCTATTAACAATCATCAAAGTCGTTTAGAGTCAGAAAATTCGATCGACGTCGATCAGTTTCGGAAAAGAATCTCGAGCCACGAAGATCCACTTAGCGACGAAGGGGACAAGAACTATTCCGTTCAGACGGAAAACACAGATCTATCCAGTTACTGTTCTGCGGAAACGAACAACAAGAAATTATCTGAAATGAATTCTCCTCGTACATCTATACAAACGGCAAGGAATGGTGAGACAAGAACGATATCGGAAGGTAACGGCAATCGTCAGAAGAAAAGACGACGGCGAAAGGCAAAACAGAACCGGACAGTTGTATACAAATTTACCCTGATGTTTATGCTCATAACCGTCATTTTCCTTATATGTTATATTCCTAAAGTAATAATTATCATGTTCGAAGCTAGAAATCCGAAATTCTGGGAGGAACTTTCAGATTCTACAAGAGCTGGCGTTTTGTTTGTGTACAGAATGTACATCATAAACAATATCACCAATCCATTTATCTATGCATTCCTAGACAAGAAGTTTGCAAATGAAATTAAGAAGTTGTTTAAAGTTTGTATAAGAAGATGATTTACAGATTTCGTAATGAAGAGAATTTGTTATCTTTTACATAATGACGAAAAAGAATGCTGAAGTATTTCAGATATTGATGGTAACTGTTTAGAGATATTTATCAATAATTTTACATAGATTATATCTATATTGAGTCTAACCTTGTTTTCTATAGTAAGCTGCTGCTATAATGATTATACAATTAAACATCAGTTAAATGTTTTACATGTTAAAAAAAGCCGTAGTTCATGATTTGTAACTATTTGTATTATGATTGTTTTGTGCCAATAGTTCTTTTAAACCAGCATGACTAAATCTTAAAATCAAAGCCCAACATAGTTGCATTGGAACACCAAAAAAAAAAAAAAAAAAGAATTGACAGGATTATGAAAATTTTCTAGGCTTTATTTAATAAAGATTGTACAAGAGAAAGACCAAATTTTCCCTCAAATTCAACTTGACTAAAACTTTCATATTTATTCTAGGACACTAATAATTCTTATCATGTGTAATTTGAAAGAAATTACATAGATATATATACATTTTTTTACATCTAAGTTTGAAATATGGTCTATCAGCCCCTTGTAAGAAGATTGTGGTATCAAATATTCTTAAAAATCATATGTTGTTTTTGAATCCTTACAAACAAAGATAAACAGTGGGTTTCAGTAAATGTTCAATCAAGCCTCTTTCTTTACTCCTCACTAAGATATAAACAGTAGTGAAGGAGAAATTTCAAGAGTATTGTGCAACAATATATTCATTAGGTGGTGTAAATCAGATCAAATCAAAATTCCAAGGAACTTTTTGACAATTTGAAATCACGAGATTTTACGAAAATCAACAGCTTTAAAACTTACAACTTTTCAACTTTCTACACAACCATTCCCCACGATAAATTAAATCCAGGCTTTTTGAAACCATTGACAGCTGCTTTTTTTTTTTAAAAATAAAAATGCAATTCGTAAATTTACTTACCTTTTCATTAGTCATTTGGAAAACTATTTTGTTAAAAAGAATTCTAATTGTACATGTACACACAAGTACTCTGAAGTTGACATCATAAAAGGTTCTTGAATTTCTGATTGACAATATCTATGTTGTTTTTGGAGATCAGGTCTTCCAACAATATATTGGAATTCCCATGGGTACCAATTGCGCCCCGTCATAAGCAGACCTATTTTTGTATTTATATGAAGCAGATTTGTGCAAAACTTTTATGAAATAAGTTAAATCAGATCTCTTCCGTACTTTGTTTAGAGTATCCGAAACTCCTTTCATGATATTTGTGCCCAGTTTTGAGGAAATTGGCTCCGAGGTGTCTGGAGGAAAAAATACAATTGTACAAGCGAAATCTTTTTTTTTTCTTTAACTTAATGAAAACAAAAAAAAGGAGAAGATAAACATAAAAAGTAAAATGTTAATGAAAAGGAAGTTTTCTGCTTTTGATTTTATATACTCAATTTAAACACTTTAAAAACAATTCAATTTGTCACTGAAGTAAATGTAAAACTTGCAGTTCTGCTCAATAGTTTTTATTAATGAATTTAAAACTAAGGGGGAAAACTTTTGAAACAGACACTACGCAATAGAAATGGATAATCAGACATCTAGTTTGGAGAAATATAGGAAATTTGGAACAGAGAGTAATCGGAAAGTTTAATCTTCGATAATGTAGTTTTGTCTCTTTATCTAATAGTAGGACTGTTTGGGCAACTCCACAGTTATCATATTGTCTACGGTCTATTGATGAAAGGCGAGAAGGAAGAAAGATATTTCATTCCGTTCCTTGCTGCTGTGGACTTAGGTACTTGTCTTTTTAATTCTTCATTTGGAATAGCTCTCAATGTGTTTCCAGCCAGATTTGAAAATAATTTTGCATGTAAAAGTTTGAAATTTCTCGTGCCGTACTATACATTCACTTCGATATTACTGAGTATTTCTTTTGATCATTGCTGTACACATATATTGCAAGGTCTGCAAACTATCTGGAAAACAAATGACACTGAAATGGAAACAGTTTTCAATGTGTTTAGCCAATTATAGAGATAATTTTATCTTATGCTTTATTTTCATGGATCAGAGTCCTTTCCAAACACAGAAGAATGAATAGTGGGATGGCGATGCAACCCATTAAAAACTGCCAATAAAACACTCTCCTTAATTTTTGGAGGATTCCTTATTATTGCAACAGTTACAATAATAATTTTACTAATTAGCCTGTATTCCAGTAAAGGGTATAAAATTATGTTACAATTAAACAAAATCATGACCTTAAACAAGAAAAAATTAAGGATGAAAATTCATATATAAGTTGCAGTCGCATTTCGGCTCAAGGTGATAAAAATAGTGAGAATAAAACCTATTCAGTTATTAAGGCTGATGGCACTGAATTATCCGATAACCATTCTGTTTCGGAAACACGTGTATCCCCAAGAAATACAAAAAGGTCTTCCAATAAAAGAGTGACATTTGAAGAGACTGCGAATCATCATAAAGTATTTGCAACAGAGGAAAAGCAAAAACGAAACCAGGCAGTTGTATGTAAAGTTACCTTAATGTTAATGCTCATAACCATCATTTTCTTCATCTGTTATATTCCAAAGGTTATCCTTTTGCTATTAGAGGCCAGGAATCCAAAGTTCTGGGAGGGATCTTCAGATTCTACAAGAATTGGTGTTTTGTTTATTTATCGATTTTTCGGCATTTTATCAAAACTGCGACCATTGACAATAAAACAATCGAGCCATTATGATTCAATTACTGAAGAAGAAAATAAAAACTGTTCTCCTAATACTGACAGCACAAAAGTATCATGTTACTATTCTATTAAAAGGGAGAGAATGTGGTTATGCACCTGAAACATCGTCTAGTATGACAAAATAATGTTCAAATACAATAGTTTTACCCTAAGGGAGTTTTACTTATCATACGTCAAGTGATATATTGAGAAAGTAGAAACAAAACCGGATAGTTTTGTACAAGTTTTTTATTCTTATAACTGTAATTTTCTCATCTGTTTTGTCCCAAAGGTGATTATTATGCTGTCAGAGGCGAAGAATCCAAAGTTGGTTAGACCAAAAAAGTTTGCAAAAGAAGTCAAGAAGTTGTTTAAAACCTGTAGATGGGTAGAATTAATTGTTACAAGAATTTGTATACAGTTCATGCAGAAAAAAGAATGTCATAAAACAAATTATTTATCAACTTGTATAATAATTACTGAATTTAATACAAACAACTGTCTTTTTTTAGTCATTTAGCATACTCATTGTGTATTAACGCTTGCGTTTACAATTTGAATTTCATTTTAAACTGATCTATAGAAATCATTATCGTTTTATGGTTTGTATAGATGAAAGGGGATGCGTAATTTTAAACTCCACAGTTCTTGGGTATTCGAGCTTTCAAAGGTTTTTAATGCACATTGAACAATTACTGTATATTATATTATATCTTTACGATAAAACATCAGTTTTGTAATAGTGACATTAAAATAAATTCAGCTATTGTTAAAATGGGGTATTGGGCTAAAGGTACTGAAAATGACAATTGATATAATTAAAATAGTAATTAATTTGTTTATCGAAACTGAAAGAGGAGTTGCATTTTCTGATTTTTAACTTCCAATTTAAATTATTCTCTCATGAAGGTTTAATACATTTTTTGGTATACTTTCCAGATCTTTAATAGAATATTTGAACCCTAAATTCCACGAGTATTCTTATGTTAATAACTTCCTTATTAATAAATAATGAACTGTAAATGTGTTTTTATTATTTGTAAATAAATTTTATTATTTTGACGCGACAAGGAAATATTCTTTTTTATAATAAATTCTTGTTCTAAAGAATCAATGAGCAATAATATCCAGGAGTAGTCCTTGATTTTCTGTTAGGTGATGTGCGCTTTGGTGTAAATTTTGACAATGTAAATTTGTTTTGATTGTTTGAGGGATGCATAATTTAAGGGGGCCGAGTGTAGTTTCCATTGCGTAATATTTCGCACATCATAGTAAAAATGAAGCGTATTTACTTTTTCAAAGCAACTTTTTTTTCGCTTGATCATCAACATTAAACAAAATTAAGAAATAAAAGTATAGAAATGTAATCACAATTCTATATAACTGATTTTTTTAATCGATTTTGCAATTGATAGGTAGGGTGACGTCATTAGTCATTAGTGTGTTTTTGACGTTATGATAAACTGAAGCTCTTAAAGTAAGGGGTAATAAAAATGTTATTAAAGAAAAAGTAATAAACATACGCTATTAAAATTTAAAACATAGAAATTTGAGAATATCTCCATTATTTTTATTATATTTTCATATGAATCCTTTGTGCCCGTCACATTTTGTAGTACTCTATAAAAACGGGAAAATTCGTTTATATTTGGCATTTTGAGTTGCCCCCTCTGGTAACAAGACGGTAGAATTTTGTGTTTCTTACATATATTGTATAATATAGTATTATTCATCAAATATTATAGTTTGAACAAAACGTCTATTGTAGTATTTGTGTAATTTGCATTAAAATGCTAAAAATTGGCTTTTTCCTTTATAATTCTATAGTAAATGTACCTGTATTTTGAGCAATATCTCAAAAATACCTGGACGGTAGATTTTCCCCAAACTTGGCATGTACACTGATGTCAATGTAAGTTATATATGGTATTAAAATAATGAGTTTCGCTATTGTTGATTTCACACAATAAAACCCCAGTCGGCCCCCTGAAATAAATCATACACATATATTAATATCAACAACACTGACACGATAATTCTAGTTAAAGAAAAATGAATATAAAAAAGAGAATGGATTTAATTACGAAATATTTTTACAACTGTTTTTTTCAATTTTGTTGAAATATAGAGATAATAAACAGTATTCAAGATCAAAAGTCCAATAACAATACAAATCGGGAGCAGAGCAAACACGGACCTCCAAAACATCAGAGGTGGGATCAGGTGTCATGGAGGAATGAGCATCCCCTGCCGACAACTAAACTTCATAAAGAACGTAATGAATACATTTTCTGTTGTCAATTTAAGTTATGTAGCAATATACAATTATTACTTTC